CTTCATATACTAAGGAAAGTGGTCCCAGTCAAGACCTTCGAAGGCGTCTACTAGGTGTTCGTCGAAGCCTATACTAGCAAGCTCGTTAGAAGCTATCGTTGCCTCCTCGCTGCCGTCAGCGGGTGGGATGATAGCTTCTCGAGCCTGCGTTTCGCGCAGCCGCGCTTCGAAGCTCGATACCTAGGACGCTTCAACTAGAGCTTGACGAGGTGATAAGCGAGAGGATGATGGCGGGCTTTCGATAGATATAGGCTGGCTTAGAGTACCGCGGGGCACGCCCCGAGACCGCTTCGGTGGGGTAGCAACAATAGCTTGGACGCGTCTTTTTGGTGGCATGCTTGCAATTAAGAAATTGGTAAGATAAGAAGATATATATAATAAATTGACACGTATAGTATTAGAGATAGAGGTAAGAGTTAACGTTACTATAGATTAGTAGCCTACGTAAAGGAGTTTATAGTTATTCTTCTTTTTTTACGCACGGGCGTATTAAGCTCATCAAGCTCTATCAAGCTTAGCTTAATAAGCTTAACGAGCTTGATACAGCTTGATACAGCTTGATGAGCTTAGCTTGACTCAGCTTGACCGTTGAGTCAATCCAGCTTGATTGATGAGCTTGACTCAGCTTGATTGTTGACATCTCTGCCTCAGACTGTCGTGATGGAAGATAAGGCACCTGCCCACGCCCACCACTATTAGAGTGTGATCTATAGTCTGCACGACGTTGAGAGACTACTCTAGTGTGGCAACTCGCCAGACTGTAACTGTATTGAGCCGTGCTGGTTCTATATAAAGAGAGAGACTACGAAGAAAGGAGCTCTACAGTCAAGGGCTGAGGCAGTTAGAGTCTAGCAGAATTGCTAGAGAGACCTTTCTCAACTTAAGATCCAAGCTTAGATTAAGCGGATTCTTATTTATATCTAAAAGATAATTAAGCTACAAGGTGGTAATAAGTATATAGAGGGAAGAGACAAGCCTCGACTAAGGCGGCCGTACTTCGGCTGAATTGTTCTTGGCAGACAGAACTTTTGAAAGGCACCTCCGTACATTTGCCACTATTGACAGGTGGATGCATCTGCTTCCTTCACACGAAATCCTGGCGACACAAACCTATTCGTCACGGGGCGAGCATCGTACAAGCACAAGTGAAGTAGATAGTGCCAAGACTGTGGCTAGTGCATCAGCCACAGGGTGCTTGAAGTGGCTGGTGAAATGAGGCAAGTGCCAGGCTGAGGTAAACCAGGCGACTCAGCCCCATGATTAAAGGTACAATGGTGTTGAAAATTGAACATTAACACATGACGAGTATCTTGAAATGCTGTTTTACACTCAATGCAACAATCTCCCAAATCACAGCCTTCTAAAATCTGATGTGCGCAGATTCCTAATGAGGTGAGCAAACGCTTTCATTTGGTGAAGGACACTTTGAATGCCAAATGTTTGAGACAATACAACTCCAAAAACACCAAACAAGAGACTCTACACAATGCAAACTCACATCTGCTGGGACAAAACCTCTGCACCCATACGCAACACCCTCAACCACATGCTGTCATCGAATTGCAGCTTCCAGTAACCGCTCAAGCACACCTGCCGTATTTCAATGGCCGCCATGGATCTCGTCAACGCCCAGCAGCCCTTGCACATTCCAGGCATAGGCTTCCAAGTCTTTCACTACCGCCATGATATATTTACTCCCGGCATACCACCCATGGCGCATCACATTGGCGTCTTCACCAGCCTTGCACACGCCCAAGAAGCCGCGCGATTTGAATTCGAACGTGTCCTGGCCGAATACCTCACCCACGGCTACTACGGCCGCTGCTTCAACGAGATTGACTTGAATCTACGCGGGCTCATCACGGCGTACGTGGACATTGTGGAACACGGCCGAGTGCTACGGCGCGAAGTCTACTTGAACGAATTCCACATTACGACCGTCGACGTCTGGGACCCGACTTGGGACGCCGAGGTACGCAGAGTGGGTGAAAACATGCTGTTCAACGGTCTGAGGAGTGGACATGTGATCTATGAGAAGGCAGATGGGGCGGCTGCGTCGACGGCAATGTCACACGAACCTGTTGGACCGGTAGCGCCTACATTTGAACTACCCGAGCCCCACCGCATCCTTGAGAGAGAAGCAAAATCTGTTCCATTTGGCGTCCAGCACGAAGAGGAGCGTTCGCCCGAATGGGCGAGAACTCGCATTCCGATATTCACCCGTCGGGACGACGCTCCTTTTCGTCGACCAGGCGATGCGCCCTACGCTGATCGAATGCCGTTTTCGCCGCCGCCGCCAAAGTCCCCCGTGCCTCCTTCATTGCAGCAGTCAAATGAACCAGTGACAAGCAAAGGCATGTGGCTTGATGGATTGGGCATTTGGATTCCTGCAGTGCGATACCAAGACGAATGATGAGAAGAACAGAGTAATCGACGTACCAGGGTGCTTGCAATGCTGAAGGTATGGAATGGGGGACGTGGTGCGCAGGAAGGAGGCTGGTACTGCAATTATACCAGGGTTTCACATCAAGAACCGGGTTTGTATCGGTAGTCTACCTTGCTTTTACCTATTCACCGTGTCCGCTGGGAATCCTACCATGTACGTATTCAAAGGCACTTCTGTAATGAATCAGCTTGGATAAGTGGAAACCTGTCGAAAAGACGTCAATTCTTTTACTTGTTGCCTGTGATGATATCCTGTTACACGTGAATCGAAGTACATATCCTCGCGGCAGTTGTATGTGGAGTATACCTACATCCTTTGTTCCACAGACTACGCTAGAGACATATACGAGTGGCTTTTCTTCTTTTGTAAACGCAACATCTGCCACTTGCACAGAATTTACAGCCACTAGGTGGAGATTGTATGTACATTCACACTTGTACATGGCAAGTTAAGTATAGTTCCTTCGCTCTCTCCACTACCATCCTACCTCCGCTAATCCAAAAGAAAACAACACCCCTCCCTACTTAACCTCCTTCCTTTTTGCTCATTCCTCAGCATGCATAATGTCTAAATTGCGATAGCTCCAAATACCAAGAAACCCGCAATCTACATTTTTCCGCCTAGAAAAAAAAGCAATCAAAAAAAAAGGGCGGAGAAAGATCTCCCTTACCCTCCTTGCCTGTTTTCCATGTACCCAGCCCTAGCTGCTAGTGTACTCATATGTGTGTGTACTTGGTTACTTGTTCCAAATCCCATGGCTACGTTGCTTTTTTTTTCTTTTCGGAAGCTTGCTGCAGAGCTGTATTTGCTTGTGCGGATCTACCGCTGATCTACCGCTGATCAAGGGAAAAAAAAATATGGCTGTAGGTTGGATATGTAGGTGTGTGTGTGTATGGGGATCAAGCATGAATATCAGTGGGGGAGTGGGGAAGACGGAAAGCAAGTGTGAGTGTGCAGTTGGTGTTGTGGATTGGTGATCTGCATTGTTGAATCAGAGTGTCGTGGTGGTGGTGATACACTTAGTGCGGGAGAAGAAGGAAGACAAGGAATGCAAAACAAAGTAGGTAGGTAGTCATCTGACTTCGGATATCTGTGGGGTGGCGGGAAAGTCACAGCTGATTTCTTATTCTTTATTTCTTTTTTTTCCTGGTCAGTTGTGCTTTTTTTTAGACATGGTCGGGTCACATGGTTCGTTTGTGGATGCTGGGATTCTCGGTTCTGGAGTCTGGAGTGGGAGGAAGAAAAATAGTTTGTTACACTTTGTATTTGTTCGTGGTGTCATATGGAGAATATGCAGTGAGGTTATGTCTAAGCATCGCGCATGTGTGTTTCGGGACTTGTGGTGATTCACTTGTGGTTTGGGTGAAGTGGTAAGATTGCTGTTTTTGTGAATGACATTGTTCTTGGGCAAGAGCTTGCGAAGGGTATGGGATTGTGCATAGGCATTCATGAGATTGGAAAGATGCAGGGTTGCAAGTAAGTCAGGCGTCAAAGGTGGAGGCGATACTTGCAAATCAAGTCGTAAGGGTGGGGCGTGAGTTACCTGCTCACGATACACCAAGATCTCGTGTCACGCTTGTTGCAATCTAGGAAACTAGGTGTACATATAAAGTACTTTATCATCCATGTGTGCTGCTGCGTATAGACTAGTCCGACAGAAAGCAACAAGAGTCTTTAAGGTCGATAAGACTGTCGAAAATTATAGTGTAAGAACCGACACAGTCTGAAACGGATATTGCAGAAAACTCTAAAGTTTGAAATATAAATAAAAGCTGTTATTGCAACACTCCAAACACAAGAGTACAATGGACGTTAATATCATGCAAGTGGCTGACTTACAAACCGTGGACAACATCTTGTTCTGAGGATATGACAACAATAAGTCGCCGTATTTCCATGCCCCAAGAAAGAAAAGAGCTTAGATATCGCACCGTTCATCAAAATTTAGTATAGACAGAAGATTGCCCACAACCTTGCTAGGACATGCGCACGTTAGACTAGGGTTGATGGTCAAACTCCGGTCCAAGTCTGACATCGTGTATTGACAGGCCAAACGAGTGGCTATAGACTATCGAAATAGGGAGAAAACCGTTTTGGCGGTACAGACTTCTCAACAGCCACTGCAAACTGGTTGGTGATAAGAAACCCAATAGCAGTCGCGGCAAAACATGGTGTGTCTGTCCCAAAGCGGTAAGGTCGGACGATTGCCACGTGTTTGACCAATCATCGGCTCACCGCTCAGCCTCACGTCCATCGCGATCGTGAGTCTGAGCATCAAATTCTGCAATGTTGTCGACTCGAGTGCCATGCGATGCCAATCACAGGGCTGGTAAGCATCAGGTACAGCATCAAGGATGCGAACGCTGTTTCGCATTCGACCCACACAGCACATGCCTTTCGATCACAACCTGTTTGTTGAGATGACTCTTATCATCCATCCGCCCTCGTTACTTTGAATTACAGGGGCAGGCTTGGTACAATTTCCTCAGCAGACCATAGAGACTCATTTCCTTGCAAGTGGTATATTATCCTAAATGAAATGTCATGGTGCTGCACACTGAACTCGATATTTCTACCAGCAACATTTAGTATATCACATCTTCAATATCCAGCCATTTGTATTCATTTTTGAGATAATATATTTTTCTGCAATGTCGCCTCACGTGATCACCGCCTTCCAACAGTATCTCAGATGGGACTCGGAAATCAAACGACAACTCGATGGAAAGACACGTGCAAAAACATCGTCATTTACAAGACGCCCGCTTTCAAACCTGGGAGAGAATCAAGAGCTGGGTTTATGGCGTTCAGGACATATAAGGAGACATTCAGCATGAAGTAATTAATCAGTCTTCACATTGGCATGCTTCTGTGGACGCGAGGGCGGTAAGCTCAAGATGTACGAGAACATCTTTCACCTTCACTGCAACTAGACGTCATAAAAAATAAGACGCGTAAAACACGCTTCACCATTCACCGTGGATACGCATCAAAGCCACGAGGTCTCGCCGTATCAAAACTTCTTGTCTGCTTAACTCCATCCTCACAACAACACCTCGCCGCCGCCGCCTCGACTCGCCTCGGATCTGGATACCAGAGTGTCCAGGACCGCATACTAACGGAATCTACAGGTTCCTACATTCGACACCAAGATGGCCCACCAGTATGCGGACACGGCATACGAAGACCGCTTCGTCTCCGCGCCGTCTGACAGCGGCGAACTAGCCGACGATGAATTGGAAGAGGATTCATCCGAGTACGACGAGTTTGATGGACTCGAAGAAAACCATCACATCAACACGATGGCTGTCGGCAACGAAACCGGCATCCAAAACACCAACTTTGTTGACAAGGTCGGCACTCCAGCACGCTGGAATGCCATCGCCAATCCCTTCTCAACGCCTTTCACACCCACTATCCCGCCTTTTGGAGAGTATGTGAGCAGAATGCCACATGCCGCACACAACTCTGCCGGCTACTACAACATGCACAGTGGTATCTACGCGCCACCCGTTCCTGCTCAAGTCTTCGCGAACAACGTCGTCCAGCCGTTCAATCCATTCGGTTCATTCATCCCATACAACCCGTTCGCTGGCGACGCATACCCCGCTCTCAACGAGCACCAAGTCCATGCACACGACGAAACCAACCTCGATTTCAACTCACACATGCAAGGCTACGTAATGCCGCCAGAGAGTCTGCCAGTTGGTTTTGCGCGGGCTCCACCGGGTTCAATTGAGCCCATGTTGCATGTGGCTACGCCTCCCATTGATCCCGCTTTGCTCATGCCGAACACGGAAGCGAGGGCGTTGCAGAGTCCTCCAAGGCACAAGACGAGTACTGGACTCGCGACTACGCCGTCGAATAAGCGAATGAGGGTCGGTAGTGGGGAGTTGGAGGCACGCTACTCAGGTCTGCTGCCAGGAGAGCCGTCGGATGCGCCTGGTGAGCTGCTTGCGGAGGAAGAGTACAAGGATGCTGATGCTGACGCTCAAGTCTATGAGCGCGGTTGGTTTTTGTTGGATTTGTGAAGGGATGGTCACATGGGAAGTTGATGGTTGATGGTTGAATGGTTGGCAGTAACATACAGTACTACTTTGGACATGGCACGAGTCTTTGAAGAACCCAGATACCCCATGAGTGACGACCGAATTACAGCTCCTTCTTGTCTCCAGTAGTCTTTACGCGCTTCCTCTCTACACCAACCAAGCTCTCCAGGATACTGATTCCCATTTGCATCAGGGTTACAACCAGCCTTACAACGTAGTCCTTCCACTCTAAGACGGGTTTCCTGCCTCGCATAAACTTTGCGTCTACGACTTCCCAGCCTGCGCTTCCACCAAGCTTCTCTCCAATTTGCAATCCGCTTCGACAGCCATCTTCGTGAAATCCGTAGCCTGTCCATGCGCCTGCGTACCAGATACCTTGCTTGCCTTGTATCTCGTTTAGGCGGTCTTGTGCAAACACCATACGTGAGTTGTACAAGGGATGGCGGTATTGGTATGTTGCCTGGGTTAGAGCAGGAGAGGGTGGGTTAGGTGGGTTGAGGGTAACAAGGACCGAGGAGAAGGTGTCTCGTGGGATATGTTGGAGAGTGTTCATATCATAGGTCAAACAGACAGACTCGAGGGCGCCAGAGGAAGATGTTAGGTTTGCATCCTTTGGTGGGTTGGCCTTGGACGTGGTGAGGTAGTTCCATGCGGACCAGGCAGTATGGCGTTGGGGCATGAGCTAGGGGCTGTTAGTTTGTGCACTGCATGCGGATATTGCAGACTTACCGAGAGGTCAGAGTGCAGATATGCAGTGTTGGGAGTTGTCTCGAATGCATCTAGGATCTCCTTCTCCGTTTCTGTTGCATCATCACCCAGGATCCATCTCGCCTGATCTCCGTGGCAGGCCAACACAACCTCGTCAAAAACTTCGGTTTGACCCTCTCCTCTTCCGCCTAGCTTTAATTCGACCTTTTGGTCTTTCCGCTTCACAGCCAAGACAGGCGTCCCAAGATGGCCTTGGCAGTTACCTGCCAACTCCAACACGGCATCAATGTACTTGATGGCTCCGCCTTCAACTGTCAACCAGGGCGGTCTTTCCGAGATGGTGCTGAGGAGATGATGGTTCCACATGAAGCGTATCAGCGTCAGTGCTGGGAACTCTAGAGCGCATTTGTCTGCGCCGGTACTCCATACACATGCAGTCATTGGGATCAAGTAGTCATCCCTAAACGCGTCCGAGTACCCCTCTCGCTCCAGGTACTCGCCAATGCTCATTTCTGTAGCAGCGAAAGCATCTGGAGATCCTGGGGGGATGGATAGCAAGTCCAGGGCGAACTGGTTAAAGCGGATAATGTCGAAAACCATGCGCCAAAAGGTCGGCTTGAGTGCATTGGATGGCTGGGCGAAGATGGTGCTTCCTGATGTACCGGACCATTCAAAGGCACCAGCATCGCGGGAAACGCCAAAAGTCATTGTAGAATCTACCGTCTTGACACGTAGAGCGGAGAGGAATTTGATAAAGTTTGCTGCTCTCTGTCAATTGCAATGCCGATAGTAGGTTCCATGGCCAAGCACGAACGGTATGTAGCGACATTCAGGACAATGAAGCCGGTATCGACGGGCGTCGTCTTGCCGTTGTGCTTCCACGTCACCGTGTTTGTGTGACCGCCTAGCCGGTCCTCCTTTTCAAAAAGATGCACCTCATGCTGGGTATCGCGAAGCGCATACAAGGCGCTCAGACCAGATATGCCACTGCCGACAATGGCTATGCGCTTCTTTTCCGTCTCTTTGCTCATGGTGAAGCCGCGGGGGCGTGATGGCTGCACAGACAGACTAAAGGCGAGTGCTAATTGGATACAAGAAAGTGACAAAAGACATGAGCAGAGGAACAGAAGCTATGCAAAAGACGCTAGTCATGAGGTCATCGATGTTGAGGCGAAATCCGTCCGAGGGAGAACATGACTAGTATCGCCGCAGCTCGTCTCACGCAATCCGGCGGCCACGCAATTTGGGTAGGGTGGGATAACGTCTGGTAGTGCGCGCAGATGGTACACGGTACCTGTTGGCAGAAAGAAATTATTATTGGTGCGCTGTCTGAAATTACAAGCTCTAGCAACGGTAGAGTGGACCGCTGATCCTGCTACCCACTAGCTCCACCCCAGACACAATAGTGATAGCGAACATGCTATGTCCTCCTGATGTTACTGTCGCATGCCCAGCACTTGAGACCTTTGGAGCCGCAATCTGGTGCGCGATGCGACCGTCTGTGCACCAGGAGTGAAGACACGCGAAAGGCCCACCATAACACGTGTTGGATTTGAAAAAAAAGAAGGTTGCAAGGCAACCTGATGATTCCCATAATAAGGAATGGCCCAGTTTCTTGCCTGGTCGTTTTACAAGACACGGCCTAGCATGGAGGGCAGCAGAACATCGAGGCACGTAATTACCGCACGTGACATGGGGGCAGGGGTGTCCTTGGCAACTGCGTAATGGCCGCATGAGCTTTGGACTATCAACTCGACGCTTCATTCACAAACACATGCGCAAGCGCATCCTCCACGTCTCTCCTTGCCCATAAACGACCGCATACGTACCCGTCTGTTTTCATATCGCCCCCGCGTAAATAGTGCAGTACCACAGCCATGTCCAACCTCATCGACGCCGACGCTGGTACCGAGCGCTTCAGCGGCTACGAAGCCGAACTGAAGCTGGTGCAAGCCGACCTTAGCCAGCAGATAGAGCAGATCAAAGAGACGACTGGAGAGCCAAGGAAAGCCGCCATCAGCAGGGCTGAGCGGGCGCTCGAGGAGGCCGAGGAATTGGTGAGTCGGTGCCTGCAGACGCATCACGCATGCGGAGTTCCATAGTCGCATCACAACGACTATTCATGGCAGAATATATGCTTACAAGTGCCCCGCCAGATTGGCCAGATGCGCCTCGAAAAGTCCAACATACCAGCCAACCTCAAATCCAAGTACAACGCACGTTTCCGCAACTATGAACACGACCTCGATACTACCAAGCGCAAGCTGGAAACGTACACGTCGGACCGCTCCAAGCTCTTTGGCAACCGCTACACAGACAACCCGGATGGCAGCGACGCTCAGCTCGAGCAGCGCCAGCAGCTGCTCTCGGGCACAGATCGCTTGAACAGGTCAAGTAACCGATTGCGGGAGAGTCAGCGCATCGCGCTCGAGACGGAGCAGATCGGCGCTAGCACCCTTGGCGACTTGCACAGGCAGAGAGAACAGATTACCAACACGAGGGAGAGGCTGCTGGAGAGCGAGGGCTACACGGACCGAAGTATCAAGACGCTGAGGGGCATGGCGAGACGGTATGTATACCCCTGTCACCCTATCTATCCAGATCCCAGTTGATAGGGAGGCATAGATGGATGCCCTTTTGATATACTCGACGAGATTTACTGACCGTGTTTCCTTGCAGGATGGCTACCAACCGTATCATCACCATTGCCATTATAACCGTCTTAGTCCTGCTCATCATGGCGGTCATTTACAGCAAGTTCAGATGATGGCCTTGCACCAGTCAACTACCACGATAAGCGTGAATTTTTGTTCGTTTGGCGTTTGGGGGGGGCAATACTTGTATATATTGCACGGGAACTTGTTCTTTGGACTGTCCAATCAAGACTCTAGTCGTGTAATGGCATCACACTTTTCCATCATATCACGTGAGGACGAGCATGTGCGATTGAATATGGGTTTTTTTCTCTCTTCCTACTGCTTGACGCGGGTTTCGACATTACAGGCATATTGCGTGCGTTTCTCTCTCTCTCTCTCTCTTTTACATGCTATTTTGCACATGTCCCTTTATTTTCCTCTCTCCCTCCTCCCTCTCTCTCTATCTTTCCCTCCCTCCCCAACTTTTTCTTCTACATATACAAACACTAGACTAGGAAATCTACAACTTTTGTCAGATCCGTGTTTTTGTTTTTCCCCGCACCCCACACTTGCACCTCAACAATATACAACAACATCAGCAACAATAACAATAACAACAATTAGCGATAACAACATAGGGAAACTGGGCGCGAGTGCAAATGTAATATGCCCCAGAAGAAGAAGAAGAATAAGAAAAATGCAGAAAAATGCAACGCGGAGAGCGTAAACTAAAAGAACAAGAAGAAAGAAAGAAAGAAAGAAAGAAAGGAAAAACAACCCCCAGATTTTCGAGGTGGATATCTTCGGAATAAAAAGTCAAATCTTTTGGTACAACAAACAGGAACGACGTTGAGATGAAAGCAAAGAGCTGGCAAAAGGGGAATTTTGAAAGAAACCCCCCCCCCCCCCCCCCAGAAAAAACAAGAAAAGAAAAACGAGTCGACGGATAAGAAGGCGGAATAATGAAGAAGAAACAGAGAACGATTATACAAACAATAAAAGTACAAGACTTGGAATTATTTTATTTCAAGAAAGAAAAAAAAACCAAGAATTTTTGTTAGCATCGCTAATTGGGGAAACACCGTTCGATGCAAAAAAAGAAAAAAAAGAAAAAAAAGTAAAGGAACGAACGAACGAACGAGATGTTGTTGATGTGGGGCAAAAAGATTTGTTTTTATCCCAAAATGTCGGTCGTATGTGCTGCTGCTGCTGGATTGAGAGCGGGTATCGAACTTTTTTTGATGCTGAAGAAAATGTTTTGTTGGTGGTGGCGTTGGGGTGGTGGGGATTGCGGATATGTAGGAGAGAGAGAAGAGGGAGGAACACGCGGGGATTCTTTTGGTAAATAAGTGCACATTTGGAAAAGAGAGAGCGATGAAGCAAGTGTCTTTTGGGAGAGGTGAGCTAGGGAAAAAAATGGCTTTTTTTTTCTTCGCGATGTTGGCCGGTTTGTTGCCTTGGGGGTTGGGGATTCGGTTCAGGTTGCATCACCCCTTCCGCGCGAGTCGTTGACTCGAAGCGGCGATTATGGATGGACAACCCGGCGCGGCACGGGCAGCTTTAATGTTTGAGGCATTGCAGCACGGCGATGTAATGACCGTCTAGTTTTTTTTACAACCCAAGATTGATCATCTTATATAGGTTGTCGCGTGGATGGCGAGTTTTTCAATGTTTACAACATTCGTAAATGTTTGTTTTGCGCTGCCCACCTACACTGGTCGGGGAGGCACATCTGGAATGTCTTGTCCAATGGGAAACGGGGTGAGGGGAAGCTGCTTGTTACTTGCTCGTGACGCTGGCCGAAGAGTGCCTGCAGTGCTTGGTCGTCGCATCCAATGACCCGGCGGCATCAGAGATGATTTGACAAATTGAAGCGGAAAGGGCACGGGAGGAACAAAGGGTGTGACAGGCATGGAGCTATGTCCGTTGAGGCGCGGCATTGGTGGTTCCCGTGATGCGCTTCTTTTACTTTTCTCGGATGCGTCGCTTGGTGTACGTGAATGTCGTCCTCTGGTGCTTGACGAGCATGATCTTGATCGCGGCGACGACGACGAATGACTGCTGTGAACAGAGCGGACTACACTTAGATTGCGAGAATAGACAGGTCGGAGTTCTTGAAGGGGCATCTCTTCCGGCTTGAAGTATATGCTGCAAAGGTTGACGTTGGACGTTGTAGTGAAGGAAGCGATGGAGCGTTTCGCACCCACTGATGTGGCGGTATTAGGTCTTGTCGGCGCGGCGCTAGATCTCGTGGCCGTGGTGCTAGACCTCGTGAGCATGGTAGTGGGCCTTGTCGTGAAGGTAGTGGTAGTGGGCCTCGATAGGATTTGGTTGGACATGAAAGGAGGCCGTGTGTTGCGCGGCGCAATCATTCCTCGTTCCGCATTATGCATGTTCGCGAATCGGCCTTTGGAATTTCGTGGGGGATCGGAAAAGTATTGCGGCATGATAAGGGCGAACAAAGGGCGCATGGCTGGTATGCAAGCGCAGATGATGCCGACATTCACTTCAACTACCGACAAGGTGGCGTGGTCGGTGTTGTCAAACGACACATTATTCGAGTTGGAGATGCTGTCCAAGGTGTAGAGCCGGATAATCGAGACCAGGGTGACGCTGTTTGTTTTGTTAGCCTCCTGCAGCCTGCACAAGGACCAGGTTTGACCTACGTGCCACTCAAAACAAACATTGCTTCTAGCCCCTTCCTCTGAGATTTCGAAATGGGCAAGTTTCTGACGACAAGCAGCGGCATGATAACAATGATCACGTCTAGCGTGATGTTCACGGCAGCATTCGTAACCCATATAATTAGTTGGTTCATGCAGCGACCGTTCGGGATTGCCTTATTCCATGAGAAGGCCAGGGGCTGGCATATGAAGATTGACGAAACGACTGCCCAGGCCCCGTAGAAGATTACTACCGCCAGAAGGGCGAAACAAGCCACGCGGAATCGACGGACAGTAAAGATACGGAGGTATTGGACCAGGATGGAGACCTTGGTAGTGGTGAGTACGAGGTTGTAGACGCCTACACTCGCCCAGAAGGCCTAGAAATTTGTCAGCGTGATGGCCAATAATAGAGAAGAAGATATTTGTCGGTACGTACCTGCAGTAGTGTATCACGTTGGTCTATCGGCAGTGTCGAGCTCTGCTCTCCCAGCCCATTCATGACTTGTGCGGCGGTCAGTACGGTAAGTGCGATGGAGAAGATCTGGAATTTTGTGAGCAAACAAGCGTGTGGGTAAACAAGGCTGGCTTACCATGGCCAGTCCGATACATGCATCCTCGAATCCAGCCCTTTTTGATATTACCAAGCGCGTGAAAATACGTAAGAAAACAACCATGGCTGAAATGACAGTAAAAGTAAGTACAATGATATCAACCCGTGTCCCAGCGGGGGAAGTATTAGTGACGTTCATTATGAAGGCGGAATAGGAAGACGCCTCGAGGAAATGGAGAGTCGAAAGAAACAACAAAGGAGGACCTGCACCAGTCTCATTCTTCACATCTCCATGCCCACTTGTCCGGAGATGGCGACGACGACTGCTTCCTCGCTGAAGGCAATAGGACGAGAAACAAAAGGCAAGGTCGAGAGGTCCGGATGGAGCGAGGGCCCTAGTGCAAGAGGAAAACAAAAGGACATTTCATTGGTAGGACATGGCGAACGAAAGGAGAGTCGGCATGATTCCCAAAAGAGGCGCACGCTCTAGTTGCTCATGCTGGATTTGGAAGGGGAGAGGCGTCGAGTATCAAAATAGTACGCGCGGGCCAGGCGTGCGCTCCCGCGGAGAGGCCGTTCCATCGTACGTGACGATGGTTGTAGGATGGTGATCAGTGGAAGCATTGACCCGATGGTGCCGTGTTCGAGCGACGAGACGCCAGCCACGACAGAGAGAGGGCAGAAACAGTTAGAGACTGGGGTACAATGCAGCGCCTAGACGCCTAGGGTAAGCCCATGGGGGGGGGCCATGGTTAAGAGGCGGTCTAGCAGATATGTCGAGGACTCGGATATTGTGACTGAGGCGCTGCTGCGGAACTTTTAGCGTCGCATGTCAGTGAGTAGACGCGGGCGGTGGACAATTGGGGAGTGGCAGCGTGGGGTGTGTAGGGCAGGGCGCATGGCGAAGGGCGGCGACAGCATTGAGTGATAGGGAAGCGCATGAATGGCGGGAGCGGTGCATTGTGTTGGCACGTGGGAGAGTGGGTGAAGGGACATGAATCGTGTTGCACCTTCAGCCGTTTGCGAATGATGGCGCAAGGCTAGTTTCCATGCTGCAGATCCAGCTGAACGCAGACCGTGCGCCGAAACCTTGGTGCAATTGCTGTGGCCCTGAAACAGCCCTAAGGCTAACGACGGTGTTGCCACCAAATAACCTTCAGGCTAAGCGCAGTCGCGATCGCTAGAACATGGCCGCGGTAGCTGTAGTCTTGTTGATGGAGCTGGGCGATTAAGCTTTACAGGTGCAAGTCGCTTACCGACTCGAAGCGCGATCAGCAGCGAGCGAGCAAGACTGGCAAGAACAGCTCCAGGGTCGCATTCAGGGTCGCTCGAGATATTCAGGGTCGCTCAGGGTCGCTCAGGGTCGTGGATGGCGCTCAAGAGTCATGGTGGCCCGCTAAGTTGTGGGTTGAGTCTAGGTGTGGTTGAGGGTGGGTGAGGGTGGTAGTTTCCAGCCTTGTTTTCTCACCACTCTCCTGAGACTGACCGCTGGTCTCTGCTGGCTGCCTTGAAGGAGCATTAGCAGATGGAAGGGCGAATGTATTGATAATAATGCCTACTCTGCAGAGGGATTGTGTCGCGAGTGTGTCAGGAGAGGCAGCCATGATTTGTGATTGGCGCGGGCAGCCATGATGCTAGAGAAAAGCGACTAGAGACGGAAAGCTTCAGTGTATAGTGGCACGTTGCTCGATCCTGGCGGAAGATGATGTCGTGCTGCCCGAGTCAGGATGCCGCGCGCGCCTCAAAGAAATGCAGCCGCGCTAGCCCGGTCGCGTTAGAGGGGCTGTTTGGTTTTGTGAGGTCTGAGGTCTGAGGTGGTGGTGATGCTTGGCAGCGGGATGCCGGCGTGCTGGACGCATTGCGCTGTAGCCACGGGGCTGCAAGTGCAAGACATATATTGGCAGGCATTCTTGGGCGGCAAATGGCGTAATGCTGCACGTGTGCAATGCTGCGGTCTGTCACCGGGCGCGGCATAAGAGATGACAGTTGTGCAGGTAGCAGGTGGTGCCGGTGCCTGAGGACGCTCGGCAAGTGGGGTGCGATGCCGCTTTAGCTTGTCATGGCCGTCGCCCACGTTGCAGCGACGAATGCTGCGCTACTTGCACTTGTCTGCTGCGCGGCCTGGCCGTGTGCAGCCTTGTTTCGCGGCGCCGGGAACAGTCGACCAACAGGCGACTTGACTTTGGCACGAACGACAGCGGCTCGTGAGCCAGGCACTGGAGCTGTGTGCGTGTTGCATGCGACGAGCGCCGTCGTAGCCCATTGCCGCCATCCTTGGCGCCAGCGTCGCCGCCAGCGTCGCCTCAGCCCTTCTTCAACCTCGCAGCAAGCCGCGAGCGTCAACGAAAAGCAGCGCACAGCGTGCACGTGGGTGTCAAAAATTCCCAGCCGACCCGAAGGCCAGCTGGAGCGGTCATAGTTGTAGTTTTCAACTAGCAAAAACGCTACCTCGGACGAATCCTCACTGGTAAGCGTAAAGCCCGAGCACTTGGATGCGGACGATGGGGGGAGGCCGAGGGGCGCGCGGTTTAAATATCTGCGGGCGCGGCGCTAGGGGGCTGGGGGCGCTAGCGTCACGTGATGCGGGTTGGGCGGCGGGCGGCTCAAGTTCGGCACGCGGCGGGATTGGCTGGGTGGGGGCTAGGCAGACGCAGCGGGAGCAGTCACGGTTTTCCAGGCAGCGCAGTGTCCGCGGGAGCGTTGTGCAGCACACTGGCCATTGCCGCGCAGCCATGGTAGAGAGAGAGAGAAGCAGCGACATTGGGCGGGCTGGCCTCGCCGCAGGATGCAGCCGCCCGACAGCCTGGCGTATGGCGCGTCTGGGGCCAGGCAGACGGCGTTGGTCATGGTGATATGTACACAGATATGTACCCAGATATGTCCCCAGATAATACATAATAATACACACAACGACGCTGCCGCCCGCCATTGCCCGTCTCTTGCCTACACATGGATACATCCATACACACACACACACATGCAAGAGCCTCCACGGCCCATGTGAAACCCGCCCGTACTGTACAAGCCAGCTTTCCTGTCGTCGGCATCGGCATACCTTCACCACGCACAGCAAGAGCTGTGGCATGCGTCCACGGACCACCACCCACATGGCTAGTGGGGTCGCCGTCAGTGCAAAACAGAGCGTGATTCTTGTAGTAGCCGGCATGCTCCGCGTTTCATTCAGCTGCAATATCATCACAGCGGCTGCATCAGACCCAGAGTGAAAAGCCATTCACACGCCCTCCGCGGTGACCAGCAGACCCCCAAGCAACCACTGGCGGTCCCGCCCCCCCCCCCCTCCTTCTCCCCTCCCCTCCAACACGCACCATGTCCGACCCAAAGGTACCGTGAATATTCTGTATATTTCTGCTGATGGCTGCCCCCGGTTTCCCTGCACACACGGCCCTTGCCTCTACACGTATGACGTCAAGACCACCCGTCTGGAGCGTTTGGGAAGGCACGTCTGGCGTACACTTCACCTCATCCGCCTCCGCATGTCCCCTCTATACGCCCTCCTGCCCGGCACAAGTCCACACACATCCCCCTCTCCAGCGACTACAAACGCCTACGCCGTGCGTCGCATTCGCCCTCCTGCCTCCTGCCTCCTGCCTCCGCCTCCTGCCTCCGCCTCCTGCCTCGAGGACGAGTGGATTCTTGACTAGACGGCCGATGCCCCCTACCGCAAGCTCCTCCTCTTCATTCGGGCATGAAGTAATCCTTGTGGAACCCTGGCACTTCCGAGTGCGGATGATGCGTGGCGCCTGCCGTGGCGCTGTACGTCCCGTAGGTCGAGGCCTCTGAAATGGCCATGGATGGCTGAGCAACAGGAATGCTCAGGCCATGGTCAGCGTCCGAGGTCCGTACCGCTTGCGTCTCCTTGCGCTCCCAGAGCTCCGACACGTCCACGGCATACTGCCTAGCCAACCCCTCGAAGCACTTGAGCGCTATGCGATGGGCACGCGCAGCCACCGGTCCCTGCATCCTCTGCAGCCACCCTATCGTCTTCTTCACATGCTGAATCATGGTCGCAGCATCACACGACGTCGACATAGGGTACGAAAGGCCGAGTAGGAAGACGGAGATGGCCTGCATCATGTGGTGGACGAGGCACCACCACGGCAAATCCTGGTGAATTCGGCTGCTAAAGTCATCCGGCAAAGACGCAACAATTCCCTTGGCCGCCTCGATGCATGCGTCGGCCATGTTTCTCGAGAAGCTCGCGTCATGGGGCTCCTTCCACGGTTGGCGTCGGGCAGCCAAACAGGGTCGTGTGAGCAAGATGCGCGCGCTGCAAAACTGGAACTTCAAGAGCATGCGCTCACGCGAAAAGGCCTCGCCGGCCTCTCGTCCATCTCCGTACGGTCGGAGCTTCAGGGGCAGCGAAGAAACCCACTGCTCTAGCCGCTGGCTCAACAGCGTCGTGTCCTGTTGGACGTCACTCGGAGACCGGATCATCGTGCCCGCCGAGTAGAGCGATGTAAGGATATTCTGCGTTATGATCGACAATTGAACAACAGCCCTAAAGTACGACCCCTGGTTGATCTTGATTGTTCCAAAGCCCATTGGCGTAAGAGGAGAATTGGTGGTAACGTTGGACGAGACGGGAAAGGCTGCTGAGTGCGACCCTGTGGCTTTCCCCACATTTGCAAAGGCTGCCGTGGTTTCCTCTGGCATGCGTTGTTCGGGATTCGTCATGGGCAGTGGCACGGAACAGTACGAGTCGACGACGATGCTGGGCCGCCCAGTTATGATGCTCAGCGTTCTCTCCAGTGAGTACAGGCTCCACCATATCTGCACCAGGGATTCCCGTTTGGTTGAATTGGCAGAAGGGTCTTCGTTCCGTACATGGAGCCCGAGGGCGTAGGCCGACCGAAGGGCAATACCCACAATGGACCAAGCACTACCATCATCAGCACACCTGTCGCCTTGACCAATCCATTGTTTGGCTACCAACTCACCGATTGACTTGTCCAATACTCAGCCAGTAGAAGCCGAGGAGCCCCAAGCTTTGGATCTGTGGCACATCAGGATGGCAAGCCACGGCCGCTTCGCTCAAGCCAAAAGCACGCGCCCGCGCTTGGTACGTAGCATGACCATCGGCTGACCAGCCCTCGTTGAGATGCACGTAGTTGGCGCCAATGGCAAAGACGAGATTCAAGATGATCTGCCACTTTGGGTTGAGGCGTGGTGCGTTTCCGTTCCGCAAAGAAGCAAAATAGACACGCGTCTGGTCGGTAAACTCCTTCCTCGGAAGGATGGGAAAAGAATCATGCACCTTGAGCATGTAGCACTGGACTAGAAGGATGAAGATACAGAGTCAGTCCATGTCTGACCAAGCACGCTTGTCCATCCAAGACTCACCCAGGTGCTCAGCAAGGTCGGCCTGAGGCAGTTCGTGTGGGTCCACGTAAAAGTTTACGTTGACATCGTCCGAGTTGGCCCAAAAACTGAAGGAACTGATGGGCTCACTAGATCGAGCGTAGGAACCGCGTCGTGACGGGCCCGAACTATCCCACGTCCCATCGGCTCTTTCGGCTTGGGCGAGTGCCACTGCACGCAGCCATTGTACTTCTGAGCTCTTGCCAACGAAGCCTGTCGAGCGAGCCTCGTCTTTGGTGTGCAAGTCCTCATCCAACAAGTCGAGAGCCTCGGTTTCAAGATGCTCTAGATAGTCGATGCTGTCCAACTCGACGACTCCTTGGGCGCTCTGAGCGTCCACGTCAGAGTTGGATGGTGTCGGGGTAAGTCTGGGCTCCGACAGGTCTTCGCCAATCTAAGACTTGTCAACTCTGCAAGACTTTGCTGACCGTGTAGCACACATGGTGTGCATGCATGCATGCATGTGCGTGTGTGCAGGCCTTACCTCTTCCAGGAGATCGTTGATGCGGTTGCTCTCTTCAACACTTGCACGGTCCCGTATCTCCCTCAAAAGGCCAGCCAACTGCTGGCAATGCTGGGTAACACTATGCTTGTCAGCAGTGCGGTCAAAGGGTCGGGGAGAAAAAGTAGACGTTTTCAAACGATCTTTGCGAGGCAGAATGTACACGCATTGACGGTTCGTAGTAGCACAATGCTTGCAGGTTGGCTTCTCGCCTGTACATTTGATCTTGTGGGAACGACACTAGATGCGCGGACAGGCTGTCAGAAACAGTAGCAAATCAGGCAGAGACCAGAGTCAGCGGGCGACAATAGCACGGCAGAGGGACAGAGGGCTCATGGGCATGCCGCCCGTGACTGCACAAGTACGGCTGTGCATGATTCAGACTCACTCCAGTACACGCCCGAGGCACTCGACGTCTATCCTGAGGGCCGTTCTGTGCAGTCTCGATTCTTTGTAAGCGTGGGATAGCGACTTTCTGCTGAGTGGACGAATTGGGGCCGTAGGGTGCTTGGGAAGTGTAGTCCGCAGCGGTTGAAGCCATAGCTCAAGGTAGCGCCCTACTGACCGAAGACTGAAGTTATTGCTCGAAAGAATGGACGTCCATCTGACATGGGTTTGCCGCGGCACCGCAACAGAGCGTATCGCCAAACGAGCCTGCGCTTTGTCGGGCACGGCGGAACTTTGATCTACGGCGTCTGCGGCTCCATTTTTCGCGTGCACCATGCGCCCAAACGTGGTTATTGGGAGACAGGGAGCCTACCCGGACCCTAGGACCGGCAGTCTCGGCCGTCGAGCTTGGCCAGTGTTTGCCCATAGAGTCGGGAGTTTGGCATCGGGACAGTTGGCCGTACCCAATGAGAGGGGATGCGACCGCCCTTAGCCCTGGCTGCTCCGGTGCTGTTGTCAGAACATTTGTGGGCTGACTCTGCTGTATTAGATCACGCTTGCCGGTGGAATTCTCGCTCCCTGCGCCAGAAGATTCTCGCAAAAAATATCGTGCACGATTTGCTGTCTATCGCATCTGCGGCTCTCTCTTGCTTATCTCCCGACGACCATCGCCGTCTGTCTGTCCAACTGATCTGGGCCTCTCCCGTCTGCCGTGTAGGCATGCTGGAGGCCACACACACACGCACACACACACCCACCCGCACACCCACCCGCACGACAAGCGCCATGCGAACAAGTACCGACAGCGCCATGGCGAGCACGGCTACGACAGGACCTTGGGCATCCGTCTTCCCCATGCCCCCTTAAAACACCGTGACATATCGTTTGTGGGGAAGCCACATCCGGGATTTCACACAGGGAACAATCGCCATGGCCGGGCTGTGTGTGGGGGGTGGGGGCTGGCCTCAGGTTTGTTGCTTGGAAAAGCGCAGAAAAGGCACCCTCGCATGAATACTGGCTGGTGGTGTCTCTGGAACCCCCGACACCCTGTTGCACAATTAAATGTGTTGCCGGGCCCAATGACTCGACTGACCATCATCAATCAGCGATTTGCACCTTGGACCAAGCCAGTCCAAGGGGACACACACACACACACAGACACAGTCCAAGCCGATCACGACAGACGACAACAACAACAACGACAACGACAACGACAAGTACGACAACGCCTCGGACCCACCGACACTCCAAGATGCAGACGACATGAGAGAGGGGGGGTGGGTTTGGTGTATGTGGGATGCGCCGACGGTGGGCTCTGGTTAACGATGCTGCTACGACTTTGGCTGGCACTTGTTTGCTCGGATTGACTAGCGGCACCTGTGAGATCGCTGCAGCACTAGCTCGATTCCAAGCAACAGACTCTCTCTTTGTTGCAGCCAGCATAGCATGGCGTCCGGATGTCGTCGCAAGGTGCTAGTACAACAAAGGGGCGGGCCCTTTTGCCCGTGCTTTCCTCGGCCGATTGTACACAGAGAGTGGTGTTGGCATCGAGGCAAAGCAGCAGAGAGCGAGGGCCGCGGGGGGTTGTGCATGTGCTGCTGCTGCGTCAAGGCAGTGCACAGCTGAATCTGGGGTACTGTCGAGTAGCCTCGCCTGAGTATGTAGGGTGAAGTCGAGGCACGACGTTGGGCCCTGGTGATTGGCTTCCGCAGTACGGCCGGCCAATTGCAACGCGACCGCACAAAGTACATGGCGTTGGACCTAGCGCGCGAACAACCCAAGATCTTCGGCCATGTATGCTTGGGGGGAGCGCTCCGCGGAGGCGGACGGCCATGCGACTTACTGATAGCGCGGCCCTGACTTGAATCGTCTCCAGAGGTTGCATTGCGCGTGGTGCTCAGGAAGCCTGGTCGTAGGCACTTGGCGTCAAAGGCACCCAATCGGCCTGGCGTGCCTCGACGCCCTCTCCTGGCCCAGCCCCTGGTCGCGGCCATGATGTGATGCATTGCTGGACAACGTCTGTGGGCTCATGCTATGCACGCGCTGGCGGGCTATTCGGACGTGTGTGTGTAGAGACGGTGCTGCTGCTGCTGCTGCTGCTCTCGCCGCCCCAAGCCCCCAGACCAAGACCCAGACCATGTGCCATCGCGATTGCGCACATATAGGGTCGTCTTGCTTTTTTCGGACAATTCCCCGCTGCCAGTCATCTGTCACATAAGAGCAAGCAATGCCATGCATTTGTGGGTAGTGGCTTCGGGCACGAGCCACGGGCGTGGCTAATGTGCGGCTGCGATATACTCCGTCTCTCTCTTGCTCTGCCTCTGGCTTCTGGGCCTGCCGACATGCAGCATCGTGTATGCCATATCGAGCCCAGATGCACGCCGTTGCGGGACCGGGGCGCCTTGCAGGCCCCCTCCCGATGGAGGCGACCTGCCTCTTCTGCTGCCAAACGGCTCCATATGCTCTGCGCAACATGGGCAGCCCCCGACGGGACTCGTAGGGTAGCAGTGGGGTAGGCAAGGCCAGGCGTGGCAAGCAGAAACTCAACAGCTTGCTCCACTGGTGGCGCTCGCCGCTCGCCTGCTCCCAACGTGATTCGTAATGTCTGACTCAAGCGAGACGACATGGCAAAGCCGATGCTCTGCTGGGGCTCAGATTCCCCCACCACCTTGCCTGCGGTATATGAACTATGTGCGTATCAGTAGTCACTTGGCAATCGTGATGCCTTGGGCGCGCGATCAGCGGACCCAGCTCATGGTCCATGCGCCCAGCTGCCGTACCTCGTTCTCTCGCTCTCTTGCTCTCACACACACACTCTCTCTTTCTCTCTCACGCTCACGCTCACGCTCACCCTGATGCTCACGCTCACTCGACTCTGGGCAATATGTGCTTGCTCACGTGAAGAGGCCCCCCCCCCGGCTCCCCCCATTTCCCTACCTCCCCGGCCCTGGTCACGTTACGCACCGGATATCGCCATGTACATACCTGCCACCAACAGGCCAAGTTGCTCATTCGCCAAAAAAATAATTAAGGTATAATACTGCAGCATCCATATGTACAAGAGTGGAGCGGTGCTGGTGGATCGGCCGATATGCCCTCTGCCATCCTTCGATCTAATCATTCAGGTCCCCATTTCACTGGTTCCAACTTAAGCCTCATCCCGCTGACCGGCTTACTCGTAATCGTTCCACCCACAACCACTTTTTCCAGGGGGTCTGCCAACGCCATTTGGAAGCTCCCCACAAATGCCGCTACAAGAGCCCTCATCTCCGCCCGCGCAAATCTCTCACCAATGCAACTTCGTGGTCCGTGCAGAAACGTTAGAAAACTGTAGTTGCTGGCTGCTCCACCGTTCATGGTCGCCCGCCCGCTCTCCTTGTCAAGCCACCGCTCAGGCACAAAGTCCTCTGCGTTGGCGCCCCACAGTGCGGGGTTACGGTTTGTCGCCCACGGCACTACGAAGAACATGGTCCCGTTGGGGATGAAGTGGCCCGCAACCGTCGTGTCGCGAATGGCAACGCGTGCGGAAACGGGTATGGTGGGGTAGAGCCGAAGCACCTCGTTGCACACGGCGTTGAGGTATGGCATGCTTTCCAGCAGGCTAGCCACGTCGAAGCTTGGCTCCGAGAGCGCCTTGGGGTCCGGTATATATTGATGGATTTCTGCCCGGACATGGGTCTGGATAGCTGGATTTTGCGACAGCAGGTAGGATGCCCATGTCAGTGCTGACGACGTGGTTTCGTGACTATGCCTATTCTTAGCCTGATGCTCAAAAACAATATATTATGAGACTTGCTTACCCGGCTGCTAGGAATGTAAGTAGCTGGTCTACCAGGTTCTCGTCGGAAAAGTCGTTGCTGCGTATCATGATGGACAGGATATCACGACTCTCGCTGCTGTCGGCGCCCCCGACCTTCATCTTGGCCTTTTTATCTGCCACAAACTCGGTGCATATCCGCTTCAGCGTGCCCGTCGTAATCCTGACTCTCTCGTTTAGCTTCCACGGCAACTTGCTAACCACCCAGGGCGACAAGACGATGTGGCTGACAAAATACAGCACCTTTTCCCTGGTCGGCTCGAGAATCTCCTCGTAGTTCTTGATGAGCTCGTCGTCGCTGTTGCGCAACGACCCAATGTCCCGGCCCAGCCCCGCAAGCCCTATGATGTCCATGGTCACTTGGGTGGAATAATGGCCAATCTCCAAGACATGGTTGGGTCGCTCAGCGAGGTCCTTTTGCAGCACACGGACAAACTCTGTCGACTTTGCCCAAAACACGGGATACAGTTCTTTGATATGTCTAAAGTGGAAGGCCGGCGCAATCCTTTTGCGGTGGTGCTTGTGCTCGTCGCCCTCACTCGTCAACAGGCCCTGCCCAAGGAACTTTACCAAAAAGCCCCGAGCAAAAGCCGGCTTCTCGAAATCATAGCTCTTGTGCACAAGGATATCGGCCAGCGCAAGCGGTGACGTGACAATCAGCCTTGTTGTGTGGAAGAAGCCGTGAGAGAGGACCAGGCCGTCGTTGGGCGTCTCCTTCATGACGCGGAGATGCGGCTCCCCGCCTGGTCGCTGCGTCATCATCCAGCCATGGCCGATGAGCGGAATAAAGCCTTTTGCCCGTGGGAGGTGGCGTAGCGGCGATAGGAAGAACGGGTAAAGGATGAGCGTATACACTAGCACCAGGCCGTTGCTGAGCAGCGCAAAGAAAACAAAGCACCCCGCCAGCGTGGGGCTGCTGCCTGGCATGATGAATGGGAGGGCATGGTACGCGAGGATGGCCTCGACGGCCGGACTCAAGACGCAGTTGACAAGATTAAACTCCATGACGATGATTATAATAATAGTGGGGTCACGATGCTTCTCATCGCAATCCAAGTATGTACAAATGGGGAAAATGTGGACACAACCAGAGAGGAGATTTGGCCGGCTACTTTATTTTAAAAGAAAAGAAGAACAGCCCCCCCCCACATCCAACACTAACACTAACATCATGGGATCCCTAAGCTTGGCACGGGGTTTTGGATCCTTGAGGTGTGCTAGCATTGTCCTTCTGCGCGAACCAAATCATGTGTAGAAACAGCTTCAAGTCGAGTGGGGTGGGGGGCGGGGGGGGGGGGGGCTCCATCCAACCACAACCCATGTGCCATGATTCCAGTTTATTTTTTGGCTGTTGTTGGTTGGTTTTCTTTTTTGCGGGGGGCGAAAACGGGGCTGCGTAATGCGTATGCCTTTCTCTCTCTCTCTCTCTCTCTCTCTTTCTCGTTGTCTCGTTGTCTCGCTGTCTCGCTCTCTCACACCACCCTAACTCCGTATGCACGCCTAAAAGAAAAGGAAGAAGAAGAACAACAACAACAACAACAACAAGAAGAAGAAGAACAAAAAGTGGGTAGCAAGGCAGTTTTCCTTTTCTTTTCTTTTTCCTTTGAGCCCGCCATTTCAGTTTCTGGGCTGCTTGCACCCACACACACATGCACATGCACATGCACAGCAAAGGGAAGCCCAAAAAAAAACAAAAAAAAACAAAATAGTGTTTCTGTCGTCCATTTGCGGAATGTAGTGCGCGCAATCTGCAATCCGCAGTCCATGCCATGCCATGCCATGCATGACGTTATTTTCCCCGACCGCTACAGCTACCCTACGTAGATAGATACTTAGATACATACAGCTACAGCTACAGCTACAGCTATGAAGCGAATGTATATATCTGCGTATTGCAGTATGTACAATGCGACATGAATGCAACGTAAATGCAACGCAATATAACACGCTCTTCACGCTCTTGACGCTACATACAACACATATATGCGACGTCTACTCGCACAGCCCGAAACAACAATGCTGGTATCTATGTAAGCAACAGCAACAGCAACAGCAGAAGAGAAGAAGAAGAAGAAGAAGAAGAAGGAGAAGAAAAAAACAAGAAAAACAGTACTGGCGCCAAAGATGTAGTGCGCGGGGGGTTTACAACTCATTCGTCGCGTGTTTCACTGGGGTTTTGGGGTGTGTGTGAGTTTCTGCGTTTGGGGCGTGCGACTTTTGAATTGTGGGTTATGCGTTGCCATCGTTTCTTGTTGTTGTTGTTGTTGTTGTTGTTGTTATTGTTGGCCCTTCCGGGTTTGTCTACCTAGTGGCAAGTACATCCAAGTACGTACATGTAATGTAGAGAGAGATGGGCTTTTGCACTTGCGCCTGCCGAGGTAGCTATGTGGCATGTGCATGTAATGTATGCGCATGGGTTGGCTTTGCCTGGGGTTTGGCAGTGGGCCTGCTTGGGTGCCTACACCTACACCTACTGTAGTGGTAGTGTAGAAGTGTCGGATCGGATATGTATGTATGTATGTGTGTGTGGGTTTTTCTTTTCTTTTTTTTTGGGGGGGGGGGGGCAGTGGGGAAGAGTTAATTAGCCTTTTCTGGGGGGAGGGGGGGACTGTTTAGTCAGTGTGTAGTAATATGACTGGTGCGAATGAGGATTGTGTGGTTTTTGTTTTTGAGGAGGAGGAGAGAGGGGGGGTATAGTGTGCGTGCATGTTGTCTAGTTTGCTTTCTTATCGGAGCCTGATTTACATCTCGCTGATGATGTTCTGGAGTGCAATTGCGTCTAGCTGGATGTAGATGTGGAAATCGCATGGCCTTCTTCTACATGCTTGTGGCCAGGCACCAGAGAAAACGTCGTAGATTCCATGTAGACGTTTATACTGCACAGTAGGGTGAGCCCAAACGCCGCCATAGTATTGTGATTCCAAACATCCTGTCTGATTTATTTCCAAATCCATTTTTTTTCATCGCCCATGCAAATCATCAAAGCGTACCTCATGCCCGACTCATGGGTTTAATTAAAATGATAGCCACACGTCACTGCGTTGACGGCAAACTTAATATACTACTCAACAGATGTCGTACGAACTTTAAGCTAGGTACCAACATGAAGAGCTCTCTCTCTCTCTCCTTAACCTCCTGAACCTCCCAGTCAGGCCGATCGTATTACCCATGCAATCGTGTACAGACACACACACACACACACACACACACAAACCCGCCCCTCTGAAGCCTTTTCATCTACAAACCTTAAAAAAATCACCTGACACCTAACCAAACTCTCTTTCCCTGACTCTTTTCACTCCAATTATTCGCCGAAAACGCCACGAAATTGTGAACCAGGCCTCCCTATACTTGCCTCCGTCGGTTATTCCCGGTCACAATAGCAACACAAGACACCTGTTTTGGTATATGACGAGGTTACATGCCGTAAGTACTAGGTCAGAAGTCAGGATAAGCTCAGGAAATGAGACATTTCTGGGTTATTCCTTGTCTTGCATTTCTTACACTTGTCAAGGTCCGACTTCGGTCGCTCTTTTTTACTGTGTAAGTATTGGGATTCTGCGTGGCTGGTTGGTCCTAGCAATACAGTCAGACGTGGCACTGTGTATGGATGTATGTATGTGTACTTGGACGTGCTAGAGACCTTAGGGTGAATGTTTTTCTCAACAGTACATTTGCTCAAGAGATGTAACAGTGGATACTCTGCCACTTGTATGTCCAGCCAGGCAAAGACAATGTCGTAGATACCTGTTTAATACAAAGAAGAATACTACAAACGACTTACCAGTCTACTCTACACTCTTATTCCGCCTCAAATCCCCCCCTCTCCTCATCAACTCGATCTTCTCCCCTTCACCCACCAGCCTCTCCGTCAGCCCATCCCTCTCAGCCTGCCCATCCAGTCCCGCACACCGCAGCACAAACGCGCCGATGCACTGCTCCGCCTCGAGCGAATTCCGCGTCAAAGCATGATCGTCGTCTTGGAAAAGCCTCAACTCGCGCGAGCCCCCCACGCCGTATCCCTCGTACAAGCGGCGCGAGCACGCAGGGCTCAGCGTGCGATCTCCCGTGCCATGCAGTAGCAATAGCGGCCGCGGTGCCAGCAACGCGATTGCGTCTGTTTCGGCCGTCTGGCTTGCCACCGTCGCACAGCCCACCACGCGGGTGTCGCTGCCTGCGACGCTGAAGACGGACGCGCCGCCAAACGACCATCCCACAAGCACAAAGTGCTGGATCCCGTAGCAGGATTGCAGCTCGTCCATGGCCGCTGCCACGTCGCGCACGGAGTACTTGGTGCGCGCGGGGAACCGGTAGTCGAGTCGGAGGACCGGCACGGGCTGCCTGAGGGACGCCAGCTTGTCTGCGAGAGAAAGGTATATCGATGAGGGTCCTACGACGCCGCCTCCTGCGCCCGAGACCAGTATGGCTGCTGTGCTGCACGTGGGTGTCGCAGACGTCGTCGGCGGTAGGTGTAGGAATCCTGATACCGCGCCGTCTGGGCCGTCGGCTACTTGTATCGAGAGCGGCTTGACGATACATGATTTTCGGGCTTGAGGGGGGTGTGATAGTCCTAGGTAGTCGTCTAGACGTGCGGGCCGCGAAGAGGCGGACAGCGAAATCCGGGGCGACGACATGGTTCGGGTGAGTGTGTCGATGTGACTGAGGAAGCGTTTCATGGGAGTAACACTCACAATACATGTCGAATAAAAGGCAGTATTCTCTTTGGAATACCGTAGTCTTTCGCCACTTGCTCGCCCCGCGAGATCATGTTGCGCAAAATGTGATGTCACATCTCTGAACACCAAGGCGAGAGAATCCTATCATCATATCAATCCCAGTATTGCATATCGTCTGCCAACCAGATCACATCAACAAGAGTAGCCGCTCGATGTTCGGGAGGACGCCGTGATTGGTATCTAAATTTATACGTGATCAAAGGTAAGAAACCCCATAAAATCCATTCATTCTCCTAACACCCTGAGATTATCCCTTTCATTCATCCTATCTCTTCATTTTACTTTGGTCCGCTCCACTTTCCACTCGGTCCCTTTCCTCTGAGGCCGCCGCCTCTGCCCCTAGGACTCTTTGTCTTTTCAATCCTGCCTTTTGACCCCCTGCCTTCTCCGCCACTAACGTTTCCTCCTTTTGATCTCTCCTGACCCAATGCCCTTCTCTGGTTCTTCTGTCCAACTCCTCCGCTCTTCATGCTACCCCTACCCATGCCTGAGCCAGACTTTGCTTTGCGAATGTCTTGCCAATCGGCCTCGGCACCGTCGTCATCCATGTCCATTTCGTCGTCTCCATGAGTGCGTTTGTTGCTGAACTTGAGACGTCCCTTCTGGCCAGTTTTGGCGGCGTCACGGCCTCGGATGGCGTCCACATAGGCGTTGATGCCTGCCTCCAAGGATGTGTTTTGATCGTCGATATCCATGAGTGCGTCGTCATCGTCATCAGCCTGCTTCTTAGATTTCTTGCCCTTGACCTCTGTCTCGTCGTCTGAATCACCGAGGATGAGCTTGCCGTCTTCATTCGTGCGCGCTTTCATCTTCGTTGGTTGTTTGCGTTGACGCAGAGGCTTCGTAGATGAAATGTTTCCGAGAGCGCGTTTGGAGAGCAAGTCGAGTGGCTCATCCTCGTCTTCGATAATATAAGTATTACCGCCCTTTGCACCGCGCTGTTGCTTGCTTTGATTCTTGACAAACTCGTCTTCAGAATCACCCTCACTCTCCTCGCTTTCACTGCCATATACGGCCTGGTCGTACTCGCTCTCAAATTTGCCCTTGCGCTTCTCGGTTGGCTCTTCACCATCTTCCGCAGCCTGTTGTTTCTTCTTCTTACGTTGCTCGCGCGTCTTGCGGATGTTGGTGATTAACTTGCGATCCTCTACAGGAGTGGCACGTTCGACTTCCTCTACACCAAACTTGCGGACCATACGTTCTACAATATGCTTGACCTTGGCCTTGAAGTGGGCCTTGTGCTCGTGACTCCAGACCATCAAATTCTTGAGAAGGGTGTTGAGACGTGGGCGTACAAGCGACTCGGGCAACGAGATAACCTCGACTTTGACAAAGCCAAGTACACTGCGGACGATTTCGCGATTGGGGTTCTGCAGGAAGATATCCATCAGGTCGCATAGGTTTGTGATGGTCTCCTGTGAAATCTGATTGTGGAACTGGTAAAGTATACGGGTGACGGCGGTAATGGATGCAGAAATCATGTGCGGTGTCGTGGCAGCCAGACCCGCTGACACCATCGTAAAGTACTCCTCGAGCGAAGCTTCCACAGTTGGGGCATCGGCAGGCATATTGGGTACCTTGGATTGCACAACCTGACCGCCCTGGGCCATCTTCTCGCCCATTGCGACGAGCAGGTTGTAGGCTGCCTCCCTAGCTTTCTCATTAGTCTCCTTGGCTGAGATGACCACCTCGGAAAGGATCGATGGGATAAAGTGAAGATCACTTTGTGGCAAGGCTTCAAGCACCTGGAACAACGCGTTCAGCCGATCTCTCCGTGCAGGGGCGGAGGCCTTTTCTGCACTTCCAAGAAGCAGCTGTTGTAGCTCTGCATTGCGCTCTTTCAAAGCAGCTCGACCCATCTCAGACTCTGCAAGACGAGGAATAAGCTTGTACGCCTTCTTCTGCAGTTGCGGCTCGTTCTCGCGGTTGATCATAATCTCAGCCATGCGAAACAGCGACCGATAGCTGTCGCGTGGGAGGTACAGGGCGATTGTGATAATCAAGTCCATGAGGGTGTGGCTCATGGGCGGCATCTTGTTTGGGCCTACCTCCTGCTTTTGCTTGGCTGCCTGTGTCTGTGAGCCAGGGTCAGGAAGCGAGGCCTCAAGATTAGTCGCAACTCGTTCAAAGGTTTCCATGAGTTCTCTCTCAGGTACAATGCTTAGGTATGCATTGATAGTCCTGAGGATGGTGCCACGATACTGCGGCAGAGTCTGGCTGTAAACATTGAAGAGGACTGCGAGCATGTTGCTAGCAAAACCAGCAAGATGGTCCAGGTTCTTCTGTGCATCGGCTTTGGAGATACGGGCCTGGGCCAGCAAGTCGTCGTCGGATTCCAGTTCTACAATGGCTTTGTTGCTGTCCACCAAGTTCTGGAGAGCTCGGCAAATGTCCGTTCGCAGATCGGCCTGGCCATAGAGAAGGTTTGCCAGCATCTCGCAAAAGCTCTGGTCGAAAGCGTCCACCAGATCCAATGGCAAATCGCAGTATCCGGGCAGGATGGACCAAATCTGCTGTACTACAGTTTCAAAAACCTTGACCTCCATTGTCTTCTCCTTCTCACCGTGATCTATCACCTTTTGATAGAGCTCTTCACTCAACGGCACCATCTCCTTTCTGAAGTGGGCTAGCTTAGTGTTGTGCACAGAATCACGGAGGAGGGGAAGCATCCAAACTCTTCCAGTCTGTCCAGGTGGTGGTCGTGGCAGGTTCAAGGGGAGAATCTCAAGCACAACATCAGGGCCCATTGCGGTAATGGCCTTTGAAATGACTGTATCCGCCTCTTTCTTTCCCGAAAAACTGTCATTGCCTCTTAGATCTCCAACGACCCTCAGCACAGGCTTGAGGATAGGGTCTGAGCGCCATCTGAGTGTCTCGAACATGGCGGCAAAGACATTGAATACCTCCATCCAAGCAGCTTGATACTTGACGCTCAAGAGATCTTGCGCAACCTTGGCTACCTTCTCCAAAATCTTCTCATCGAAAACCGAGGGCTCAAGGATAACGCTTTCGGGAACGAGGTTGACGACAAACGAGATCAAGCACTCTGAGGCGGATATGCGAATGTTGTGCGAGGAGGATGTGAGGAACTCGGCAATGGTAGAAAATAGCTCAGGGAGTTTCATAAAGGTCTCTTCGGGCTCAATCTGAGCGGATACTTCGTAGCCGCGCGACACGACTGCGATCCAGGGTGGAAGCAGCTGCGAGTCGTTCTTAGAGGGCTGCAATTCGGAGATGACCTCAAGCAGTCTGGGCAGCTTAGCAGAAGCAAGCTCATTGGCCATGCCTGCAAAAATAACCTCGAAGATGTCGAAGGCAGCCATGGTCAAAAACTCGTTGCTAGACTTGGAGATGTTGAGTAGCAGCTCGCACAAGACGTCAATCTTGCTACTTGGCCAGCCACCAGATGATGCGGCAATCGTCTTGATGAGCTGTAGGGTGTGGATCAGATCAGGATCCTTGTTGTCTGTGTCTCTCTTTCCCTTGTGCTTGCGTGCCTTGGCTGCTGCCTCTGTCGCAATGTCCTTGAGCATCTTCTGCGCGGTCTCTGCGCACATATCTGCTGCCGGGTGATCCAGCGCAGGGCTGGGCGGAGGGTTCGCCAGCACCTTTTTGAGTGCCTCCTGCGCCCTCTTCCTCACCTTGGGCCTGTGATCGATTGATATCTGCAGCAGTCCCGCGACAGCCCTGCGCGGGCTGATGGTCGTCTGGGGCAGCTCCCAGGCGCGCGCATCTTGCACGAGCAGCAGCGACTCAAGACATCCTATAGACGACCGGATCAGTGGCGTATCGGCGTCTTGGGCTGTGAGGGCGGGCGCGAGGTTGGTGAGGATGTCGGTGAACTTGGATCGCAGCAGCGGGGCTGGCACATGGGGGGTGACGAGGTCCAGCAGGTAGATGGTCGCCGTGGCTGTGTCCTTGCTCGCAATGCCTTCGGCGATTATCTGGCGGCCCAGCAGCGACAGCAGGGCGGCAAAGTATGCCGTCGGGGTGAATTCTGAGTTTTGCTGGCGGAGCGTGTCTTCGATGGCCGAGAGCAGGACATGGGTCTGGAGACGTCAGTGAACAGGCTTCGCACTGTTGGCTAGGAAAAGGAAATCGTACCTGCTGCTGGCCCTGCAGCTTCGGGTTGTCCCGGATCTTTGTCAGTCTCTCCTCGAGCGACATGGCGGCCAACATCCGCGTGGTGGTGAAGATGGCTGCGCGCGACAAGTCGACAATTTTTGGGCTCGAACTTTTTTGACAGTGCAGGGATCATGCCGCGCGCTATCGATAACCCGGCACCACCCCCGCTTGCTCCACCCATTCACATCTCTCATCCTCACGCACACGCATGGCTACGCACACAAAGTTCCGTCGTTGCCCATTGTAGTATTTTAGCATGCATCATGCGCTACATCCAAGTATCCAAGCAAAAATAAAAGAAGGGTATAAACAAACATCGCCAATGTTGTACAGAAACTGCCTGTGGAGGCAAAAAGCCGAGCCAAATGTGCACCGAGACGCACGCCCTTCCGTGCCAACCCCATGTATCCTATATTGTATTGTATCCAAGCATTATGCAACCCGTAAGCTGCTACGAAAGCAAACAAAAGAAATCATTGTGTCAACAAAAAAAAATTACTCCTCCACCAGGGTATCATCAACACGTCCCCTGACACTGCTCTTGCTGCTTTTCTTTGAAATATTCATGAAGCTAAGTCTCTTCTTCACGCTGCCTGTCCGCGACGATAGCGACTTGTCGCTCTTCTGACTTTGGACCGTCTCGGGACGCTGTCCGCTCGACTGCTGCTGAAGGCTACTGTCACTCGCGTTCGACTGGCCACGGCTCGGGAAGCTGGGCAACGCCTCGGGCTGTGGCGAGTTCGGCACTTGATTGAGGAAGCTCAAACTCAACCGGTTGAGACTATGCGGTTCCTTGCTGCGGCTGCGTGAGGAGACTGTAGTGGAAGCATCATCGTCTGTTGCTGCTTTTTCGACCTTGGTTTCCTCCTCCTTGTCCTTCTCTTTCTTTTTCTCCTTGTCCTTTTCCTTCTCCGATTCGCCCATGAGAAATTCTTTAGTCAAAAAGGCCAGACTGTGTCTCTTCTTATCTTGTCGTGATGATCGGCCATTCTGAACGGGTGAGGCGATTCTGTCCCCATTGACTTGTTTTGCGTCATTTGTCGGGCTTGCTACGCGAGAACGAGATTTAGCCGCTCCCGAGTGTGAGTCTGTGGGGGAACGCATCGTTGGGGCCATGTTCAGTGGCAGCAGAAGTGATAGTTCTCGGAAATAGGCCGCTTCGAATCCTACAACGGGTCAGCCGGCTTCAGAATGCGCTTCTCATGATACATACGTTGTGAAAGGTCTGCTTTTGTAGCTTGCTGAGCAGGCCTCACATACAATGATAAGCAGCGGCGAATAACTAGAGCATAGTCGACCAAAGCCACTCGCATAGCGTTCTCGAGTGGATTAGGCCGGTGCATCTCGTCGCCGTCATCATCTTCTTCTGCATCCTCCAATGGCGGAAGCAATTCATGGTAATTTGCGACGCAGTCTCGCGAGTGCGTGTCGACAGCATACATGAGCTCCTGGGTGAGCATGTTGAACGCAGTGTCATCGCCATCTGTAATACGCTTTTCAATGGCCAGTAGCTCCACTGTCTTGCGTGTTGTACGCTCAATGCCCATTTGCAATGCAGTAAGCGTCACTGTGCCTACAGCAACTATCTCGCTTCTTCGCAGAATATTAGGAAAGCGCTCTGCTGTAGTGTAGAGGCTCTTCTCTGCACCGGCATCTCTCGCGGTAACGGTCGATGGCGAGCGGCGAGATGCTGATGTAAAGTGCGATGGCCGAGACAACAGGTAGTAGTCCTTGACTGATTGAGACACCTTTGCTCGCTGGTAGATGGGATGAGTTAGGTCCTTTTGTGGGCTGACGGGGTAGATTTGCAGGTACTGGCCCTCGACATCCACTTCTGCACCAGGATTGATGACATGTGCTGCAGGGTGTTGCTGCTGCATTCGATCGGTGAATGAGGCCAGTCGGTCGTTGGAAGATCCTTCAAAGATGAATTGCTTGTCCCGCAGTCCCGGGGGAAATCCTAGGCCCCTGTACACTACTCTAAAGTAACGGGGGTTGGCACGTTCGCCCTTTGCAATGTTTTCGTGAATCTTGGCCATAGCGTGTTGCGTGCGAGCCAGCTTGGAAAAGTCAAAGACGTTGTGTTCGTACTGTTCCGCAAGCTCCCTGTAAGCAGCCAATGCATTGTCCCATGACTGTCCGTTCTCGTAGTGGTCGATCATCTGGAAGTAGAGCTGTTCCTTGCGCTCGAATGCGGACTGTGGTGGCATGCTCGGGTCAGTCAGTGGGTCCACGGTTGAGTTTGGATTCCAGTCGTATAACTCGGCATGTAACCTAAGCGCAAGTCCTGCCTCGGTGTAGTTTTGTGCATCCACCTGTAGCTCGACGAGCTGGTGCACATAGCGAATGTACATGTCTTCTTTCTGCATGTCCTTCAAGAACTCCATGAGATGCAACGTGTCCATGATGTGGAAGATTTCGCCAGTGGCCTCGGTGCTATGCACGGCGACGAGTAGGTCAAGCAGCTCGTCAACGGTCGATATCAGGTCCTTCAAGGCTCCGAGCAAAGGCTCTTCAGGATCATGCGCGAGGGGCTCGAACAGTTCAATCAGCTCCTGAATAAAGTGCTTTTGCGAGACAGCCTCGGTGAGGTGCTTTGTCTTGAACAGATGGTCCAGGCAATCAATAATCTCAGCCTGGATCAGAGCCAAATCTTCACTCAGCGTCCACTCGCTGATGATCATTGTCTGCAGCACTTCGATTGCCACGCTTCGCAGACCTTCGTGCACACTGAGGCAAAGCTCCACAATGGGCGCCACGAGCCCAGGCACATATTGCACCTGGAAGCCGCCCATCTTATCAATCCCGTACTGCTCCTTGTCTTCGGCGCTCGCCTCCCAGCCGATCGTCTCCCAACTGCGTTGCAACAAATCTGCGCCATGCTCACGAACATCGCCAGCGATCTTCCACACAGCACGGCGCTTCTGCTCAGGAAATGTCTCCAGTGCAAGCGCATCGCTGCCAACGAGTGTTAGCAGCGCATCGAAAAACGCACGCCATAGTTCGGTACTGAAGGCGTCCGCCTCATCGGGAAGAGGGAGAAATGAATCGGATAGAACGTTGAATAGTTTGTCCAATGCTCGCATGATGGCCTTGTGATGGTAGATGTGCACACTCAACCATGAGCTAGGAAACGCCTCGCAGTCGAGAATCGAAATGTAAACTTGCAGTACCGAAAACAAAAACTCGGCCGTATCGTCCTTGGGCAACTCCGGAAGTAAGAGAGAGGGTAGACTAGACATTGCCGACAGTACAGCGGATATCTCAGCCAGTGCCTCGTCAAAGGTAGCCTCAGCGGTTGTCGGCCGTGTTTGGAAAGGATAGCTTGTTGGGAAAAGCAGCGACAGGGTCCTTTTGGCTGGCCGAGGGGTGGCTTGGATTGCGCGGTATGAATCCACCAGCTTTGGCATGTACTCGGCGGCTTCTTTTCCTAGTTCTTCCACCTGTGAGGCTACAACTGAGCAGCAGAGACGCACCTGGTCCTTCCACTGATCGGTGACGGTCTCTACCCTGCCCCAGTATGGCGCCAGCCACTGCACGGTACTTGTCAGAAGCATACGACGTACTTCAGGGGCGCGGAAAATTTGAAGCTCCGACAGATGATGGATCAAAACCAGCTTGTAAAGTATAAGCTTGCCCTGCACTTCCGACGACGAGTCGATGAACCCGGCAGTCAGCTTGAAGACTTCTGTTGCGGGCATGCATCCATCCAGTTCCGGTATCCACGAATGAATATTCTGGACCAAGATGGTCTTGGTCCCGATAAGGACAGGTGATGCGTTGTTCATCAGCGACTCTAGCGATGTGAAGAGTGCCTTCATCTCTTTGCTGAATTGAGTCCTGTCCTTGATGCCGATGCTCTCTTCCTTTGCTTTTTGCCTCTCTCGGGCGTTGGCCAAGAACTTCATGATTAGCTTGCCAACCTTGAAGGTCGCGCGTAGCCTCCGAGAGCTCTCGGGGTCTGTAGGCTTGGCCAAAAGTCGTCCGAGACTTTGCAGCAGGCACGATGTGACAAGGGAGTGGAACACCTTGGTACGAGCGTATTGGTCTACAAGAGGTTCAAGGTTAAAGCGTCGGTCATGCACGATGCCCAAGACGATGACGACGGCATTAAAAATCAGATCTTCGTACTCGTCGCTACCAGCATAGTGATTTTGGATGGCAAAAAGGGCGTCAAAAACCTCGCTCAAAAGCTTGACAATCTCAATCTCGGGTACAAAGTTGAATCGGCGCAGCAATCCCACGAGCTCTCCCGCTGGTTGCTCTTGCCACTTGATAAGGCCTAGTATTGTCGGATCCTGGGAGTATTTTGTGCTGCAGAGGAAGGTCTTTACATGGACGGCAGCCATTGGGCCCATGACATGCTCATCCTTCTTCTTAGCACTCCATGGTAGGCCGAGATAGGCACCTTTGCCGGCAATCATACCCGAGGTGTACTCGTCGTATTTGTACAGCGTCAGGGCGTGATCGCCGTCCCGGGCAAATGCGTCCTGGTTCCAGAGCGGCATCCAACACAGGGCAAATGGAAATCCAGGTGCATCGGCAACGCTCATGACTAGGTGTGAACCTGGTACATCTTGTGGGTCAATGGCAAGCCGAATCGTCGAATTCCAGCCTTCGCCACGCTGGGCTGCTGTTGTGCGCCAGGCAGTGTGGCCTGCGCTGTTGGTGGAAGGATAGATGCACCCTTCAATGCGCTCTCCAGAGCTCTTGCGAACTTCAATGGTAAGCTGGAGGTTAGTCATGGGAGACGATTGACCGAGCGGGACGGAACCAGTCTTGGGGTGGGCTAAGAAGGCATTCTTTGGAAGAAAGGGTTCGACCAACGTCAGATAGATGTCGCTGCGGGGTTTGGTTGGAGCGCCTGAGAAGCCAATCTTGCGGCATTGCTTGATGTTGTGGAGCATGGTCGGGACCTTCTCGATGAGCCGCTCGGCGTCGGCATCGACAAAGGCTTTTATATGGACGGTAATGCGGCTGATTTGCGGATTCCGCGTGTACTGTCCACTGGCACTAGGGAAGATCTCAGGCAAGATGCTGTCCCAGTCAGCGCTATCTTCTGAGAGATCCTCACCAGGAGCCGCAGTGCAGAACATGGTCACCGTGCGGTCCGCTGCAGACCGTGCCTGGAGGATTTGGTTGACAGGGACGACGCCCACTGCAACTGATCTTTTCAGTGTCTTCTGATCACGAGAGAAAGCCCTCGCGCGCGTGGTCGAGGCTGCCGCAGAATCTGGGCGTGAATCGGGTGGCTGTGGGCGGGACTGGTCAACGCTTGGGTGTCTGCGTTCGTCAGATGAGTCGGTGTGTCGTGAATTTGTTGACTCCTTTCTCTTGGAACCCCCAAACATGACACTGCGTCGTCCACCCTTGATGCTGCCATGCTGCGAAGGCTGCACCCCGGACGTCTTGCTCGGTGGCGGTTCTTTATTCCCACTGGCCTTGTCGGTCGCGGGGGGCATGCGTAGGGGCTCATTGGTGGTTAGTCTAAAGACGAGATACAGCGTCGAGCCTGAGCCTGCGCCCTCGCCGATATCCGTCAGGCTGAGGTCTACCAGAAGCGCACGCAGCTTGTCGCCGGCCAAAGACACGGCAGCGCCGTCTTTGCTCGTCAGGTCGAACGAGTAGGCTTCCGAAAGGGGCTGGGGCGGAGCGCCTGGAGTCTTCAGACACAGATGCATGCAGATCTGAGCAGCTCCCGACACGACATCTCCCGACACGTGCTTCAGGCTCACAAACAGGTGGTGCAGGTTGTGCTCGTCGAGCTGTGGGGTGGGCCGGCTGTCGAGCAGGCTCATCATGGACTGGAGCTTGGTGATTTCAATAGCCGAGTCATCGCCTGTCAGTATGCGACCACGTTGCGAAGGGCTGCGCACAATGACGTCTCCGCAGAGCATCTTGTTGCCCGCCACGAGATCCCAGACGGTCGCCTCGCGCACCTTTTCCAGTTCCTGGGCCGTCAGCACCTTGTGCAGCAGCTGGCGCCGCGCCGTGTCCAGGCTGCTGACGAGCCTGGACATCTTGTCGAGCGAGGCATACTTGCGTGCAAGCAGCAGCTCGTGGACCTTTGTCGAGTGCCATTCGCGCAGGCACGAGGCGATTTCGTCCACCAGGGGCTCTTGGGCAGACGTGGGCGTCTCGTCGCCAATCTTGAGCATGGGCACGGGCGCGGGGGGTCGGGGGGCGGTCGGGTCTGATATGGGCGAGAGCGGGAGGGTCAATTGCTGCAGGTGCTCTTCGCGGGCAGTCCACTGCGAGTGGGTGCTGCCGGCGCGCTTTCTGTTGGACCTGCGGCTCGACAGCGGGCGGGCGCCAGGACAGGGCAGGGCCGAGACAGCGTCGCTGCGGGAGCTGCGTCGTGCGTGGGAGCCGGAGCCCTTTGCAAAGGGCGAGGTGGTGCGGGTGCTTTCGGTGGGCGTGACGACGCCGTTGGTGGGCGGCGAGTAGGGACTGGGGCGGGCAGCGTCGCTGGCAGCGTCGTGCGTCGCCGTGTCTTTGCCATCGCCCAGGACCTCGCGCACCTCGACGCAGACGCGTGGGAAGATGCCCGAGAAGACGCGTGCCTCGAGTGTCTGGCCCTTGACGCTAGTCAGGCCGGCCAGCAGCGAGGGCGGCGCAACCAGGTAGCCGCGATACCACGAGCCATCGTGTCCGCCCTGCTCGATGATGTACAGCTCGTCGCCGATTTCGAGGGGCAGGTCGGCGGGCGACGAGGGCTGGAAGGGGTATATGCATATGGCGAACGCGATGCGCGGGAGCGGTCTCCAGCTCGGCATGGCACCAGACGGGGTCGGGCTATATAGGGGGGAGGCGGCGACAGGGCATCACGAGCAGGCGACGGTGTCGTGGAGGACGGGCGGGCTCTTCCAGAGAGGGGATCAATTGGGAGACGGTCGTGGTGGGCTGCAAAGGCTGCCCCTGATGGGATGGGCTCAAATTCAAGTCTGGGGATGCGCTTCCAGGAGGGTTAGAACAAGCGGGGCAGGGCCAGAGGGGGCCAGACAAGAAGAGTAAAGGCGGGCCTGTAAGCGTTGCCCTGCGTGTTTCCGCTGGCGTGTCAGAAAGAATGCACGGCAAACAAAAAAGCGACGAGCACAGCAAAGGGCGAAGTCCATGGCCTTTGGCAGCAACAGCGCCGTTCGGTAGCAGCCGTGCCTTGCATGGAGGGAGCTCGGGGCACACAGGCTTCGTATCATGACCAGCATGGCCCCCGACCCCGGCCCCCGACGAGCGTGCGTGTATGTGGGAGTAGTAGGGTGCGTGTGTTTATACAAATCATGTATATATATATATATATGTGTGTGTGTGTGTGTATGGATGGATGGATAGAGGGATGCATGTATGTTCGTCGCCTTGCAGCGAACACGGCGCAAAAGCGCAGCCATGGGCGAGCGAACGAGCACGCCGCCCAGCGACGAGTGTGCCATGGCGCCGACGACGGGCGGCGACGGCGACGGCGATGGCGGGCGGCGGGCGGCGGGCGGCGGTGGTGGGCGGCGGGCGTGGTGGTGGTGGGAGTAGTATGTATAGTGCGGTGCATCAGAAGACGTGCATGCCCCGGCCTGGCCTGATGAACGCCTCTGCAGCAGCCTCGATGCAGCAACACGGCCGACATGGAGGCCCAGCGCAGGGGAAACGCCTGGCGCGCGCTGATTGGCTCGCTGCCGGCCTGCACAGCTCTCCGCCTGGCTTGGCCTCAATTTCACGCGTCCTCTGCCTCCCTTTCCCCTTCCCCCTCCCCTTCACGCCCTCAACAAGCTCCTGCACGCGTCGTGGCCTCGCCCGTCACGCGCCTGCCCCCCCCCATCCCCCCCTAACTCACTGACACTGACGCTGACTACACCCCCCTTACTTACTCTGCTTAATACGCCTACACTGCCACCCCTCTCATACGTACTACTTACTCGCACCCGACGCACACGGCACAAGACAGCCGCCCTGCCCCGTCTCCCTCAGTGCCCCACCATCCCGTTCAGCCCTCCGCGACGCCTGCACAGAGGCCTCCTCGCTAGAGCATTGATCTCCACTAACACTGGCGCTAGGTGAAACGGCGCCGGAAACGGCGCCGATGGATACTGGCAATTCCACAGCTTGTGGCTGGTGCTGGCCGTGGTATTCCTTTGCGTTAGGGCCGCGTGCAGCTGGCCCACGATCGACACCACCATCTTTGCGAGCCCGACTCAGTCGCACACTCCTTCTTCTCCCTGCCACCGCGCCGTGCGAGTGAGCGTGCCGATCTGGTCCCGCTTCCTTCCGAAACCACGTCTCCGACAAGATTGTCAAACAAACATGGCCCGCTGGTACGTGTACCCACATGTAGGCCATGCACAGGCCGTAGCCTACGCCACGTGCCTATCCTCATCTGCCGCCCACGCACCCAACCTGTGAGAGAAGACCAGACGCGTCTGTATCCACTCTCGCTGCCGTTTGCATGCTATGCTTAGCCCGCCGTGTACTTACCTTCCACATGAGAAGTGCCTAGGTGCTGATGTGAGAATGGGGAATCTGGTAACGCCTCCTGAACTATCTGAATGGTCGCGCACAAAGCGCACCACAGGCACAGACAAGTCTCTGCGTAGATGTTTTGCTGTCGAGAGATAATCGCACCAGCAGTCGCCGTTTGCTGCTTCTTGCGTGTCTGCCACAATGGGCCGTCATCGTGCGCCTATATTCTCAAACTTGCTCAACTCACCGCACAACCGCTGCACACCAAAACTATCTGGCAAACTCAGCCAACTCTCTCACTGTTTTGTGTCTGTATCAGGGGTCAGCACGTTAAAGACTCGCTCAACTGTCCTTCTAGCAGCTGGTAGCTGACAGCTGACATGCTAATTTCCCATCCTTGCTATTTCTCCTGCCCATACTGCATTCACTGCCAACAACAACCTTTTTGTCTTGAGACGACATGGACATGGACATGGCAATGCCCTCTGCCACCTCCGCTGACACTTGGATGCACCACATGCCGTCCATGGGACCCCAGGCGTCGATGCCAGCAATGGACATGTCCGGCATGGCATCCACCTTCACTACAAGCACAAGAGTGACGCTTTGGTTCACCAAGTGGACGACCACTACAACGGCGGCATATGTGCTGACTGTCTTCTTTCTCTTCTTCCTGGGCATCTTCAACCGCTTCCTTGGTGCCTTGAAGAGCCAGCTGGAGCGCCAATGGCAGATGCAGCGTGAGGTGGAAAGTCATTTACAAGCCAAGGCCAAGGCGTACACGTCCACAAACGAGGGTATTCGAGGCCACGCGCGACAGTGGAGTCATCCCTTCCGACAAGCACCGGCCCGATACAAAGAGCCAGACACGGAAGAGATGGAACCCTTGAGTCCAGTACAGCTACAATATTTAGAGGCCAGCGAAAAGAGCACCGAGCAAGGCGCAAGTGCTACCCACAGATTATGGATGGCTCGAGCGCCTTGGAGCATCAAAAGAGACGGTATCAGCGCAGGCCTGGAATTCACCCGAGCGCTGGTCGGTTACGTGCTGTATGTACATCGCTTCCGTTGTAACCCAATGACCCCTAAGACTCACTGCGGGACAGCATGCTTGCCGTGATGACATACAATATTGGCTTCCTATTCGCCGTCACCGGCAGCGTGCTTTTAGGCGAGATGATATTCGGACGGTACACACGAGGATCTGCGGGTCTGGCCGAGGATGGCTGCCATGCTTGAAAAGCTGGATGTTCCAAAAGGTAGACCATTCTCACACATGTTAACAGCATTGCCAGTGTACTTTGTCCTCTGTGCGAAATGTGCTGCGTCAGCACGTTGAACAACTCATAGAAACAAGTATTTTGTTCGCTTTGGTGCGCTGGCCACTCTTTCTATTCCGGTTTGTTGCTTCTTACCCCTGCTAATATCACACTATCGAGCTATACGACATGACTGAGGACAGTCCATCTCATCAGGCGAAACTCAGAAGAACATTCACCCTCTGCACTCTCAATATCTCTTCCGCTAATTTCCGTCTCTTAGCCGCAATCTTACAATTAGTCCAGGTATCGGAACATCAAACTCTGTTGGGTGGCCGGGCCCACTTTGAATAACAAATGTACAAAAGCTTCTCGCCTACATCTACTTTTCTTTTTACGAAACGGGCGTGCATGCTACACAGGACCACGCATGAAATTACATCATGGCCAGTATCACATCTGGCTCAGAATGCATCTCTGCTGTCACTGTCAAAGATGTGAGACGGGCGGTGATGTCATTTTCAAGGCCAGACACTTGATTGCATTTGGCACTAATGCCATGCGTCTGGCCAGGCCCAGACACCAGTGGTAGGAGATGCGCCGTCCCTGACGATAACCCTTTCTTTTCTGGGTTTCGGAACACCTACTTTTAGCCTCACTTTACGCGGCACCGCGACTCTGAAACTATTCATGATGACATGGCACTGACAGCCTGGCTGGCGACAAGAAGCGAGAGCGGCTCGTTCCACCAAGCCACGCCACACCTGGGCAACCCGAGTGCGAGCAAGAGGCGTCTAGATCAACTATATGCAGATCACACGACCCTGATTCGCCTGCTGTCTAACAAGCCGCAGACATCCAGAGCGCCTCGGGTGGCTTGCGGCGAAGTTCCTAAAAGCCCACAACGCGTGACGTCCCCACGGGGTCTGCTGACCGCCAGCGAACCACACCTCTCCAGCACATGAGTATTCGGTCCGCAGCCTCACTCCAGCCAACGCTTCCCTACTATTAAAAAAGAGCCTCGCTCAGTCCCGGATCTACCGCAACGTTTTGCACGAAAATGGTCCTTTCGTCTCCTTTTGCCAGCCCACACACCACACCACGACCCGACACCTCCTGCATGTAGTCGTTACGACGCACCCTCGACGACCGATGTAAAAATCCTACTGGCACCCAAAATGCCACCCCACAAAGCCTCGCACTCGACCAGCCAGATTAATTTCTTGCCAAAGGCTCCGCAGCGGCGGAGCAGCGTGTCGAGTGTGCACCGGAACAATAGCCTTGCTGCAGCTTTTAAGACTAAGAGATTGGTCGCACCGCCCCAACCCGAATGCATTCAAGAAGCAGAAGAAGATATTCACGTCACGAATGCGTTTACCTATTTCCCATTATGGCGGGGGGTAAAGGCGCTTTGGTGGGGTATTGATTGGTGCTTCGGACGGATGGGTAGCAGGGCGGAGAGAACTGCCAGGTTGGCAAAGGCAAGGGAGTGAGCTGAGGGGTAAAGGAAAAGGCCGGTGGATTCGGTGCACATGCCAGTGCCAAACCCATGTCCAAGAATGAACATGTATGTAGGGCATAGAAAAAGATTGCAGGAAGAGTACCAACAACAATTTGTTTCTATGAGTGACTTCGACGTGCTAACGCAGCGAACTTCAGAACGCAACAGGGTACACGATGGAAACAGTGAGGTGCCATACCCGTAAAAACAACCATACCTACTCCAACGAATGCCAAGGGCCAAACAAAAACGCCTTGAAATCCACAAGCCCATGGTCAACTCAAACAGCACCACTACCACCACTACTACTACTTCCACCTCCAATGACACCCACTGCTCTGCACCGCTGATCCCCCACCTTCGCAATGGGCGTCTGATCGCGAATCGCCTGCGCGGGAATACGATACATGACCAGGTACTCTCCCCAATGCAACCATTGATCCGCCGCGGCATCCGCGCCCTTCTTCCCCCCCTTCGCACCACCCTGCGCCTCACAGGCATTCGCGTCCCTCAGCAAATCCGCAGCCCGAAACACGGGCCCGCGCGCAAAATGCGCGGGATCCACAGTAACCACCCACGTATCCTCCATGTAGCGGTCGCCGAAATAGCGGGCCACGGCCTCGGCATGCGCCAGGCTATCGTAGACGCTGATAAACGGCGACGAGATGTTGGTCTGCTGCCGCAGGTGTGCGAGGCCGAAGCGTGAAAGCGCAGATGTGTAGTTTACAATGGTCGTTTGGTTCTTGGCGCTGAAGCCCGTCGAGAACGAGTAGCGTGTTTGCGAAGTGCTGCGGTGCACTCGGTACACGAGCGGTGGGATGGCGGTCGGGGCTGGGGAAGAGGAGGCGAGGCTTGTGCAGGAAATGGGCGAGGAAGAAGGTGTGCTGGGGGCGTAGAGGGCTGGAAAGGGTAAGTTTGTTAGTAGGGTTGTATGTGGAGAGTGTGGTGGAATGAAATGTGTACCTGTCATGGTGGTGAGGAACTTTGAGTGTCTGGCGATGATGGACGGCTGCTTGCTGTGTGGGATATGTAAAGTAGGTAGTCAAAGGAGAATAGTTTTAGATATTATTGCAAATATAGGATAGATATTGTACACATATCGGCTGGCCGTAGCAGAGACTAGAATGCCCTTATATCCTTACTCACTCCTACCTTTTTCTCTCCTCTGGAGATAAAAAGCGGTCAAAAGAGCCGTTCAAACGGTACATGTGCATCTGAATCAGCGATTTCGTTGGTCATGTTGCCGTCCCTTCCCTGGACGGAGATGCACATCTGTTGGCTGCTGTCTGCTCCAAGAGTTGATTTCCCGGCTGGCTGTCAACAAAGAGACGACGGCATCCCGAATGTGGGGAGGAAGGGAGGGGGGTAGACTACCACCAGGCTGACCCGGGTCCTTGGGAATAATCTTGACCCGGTGCAAAGGGCGTCCGGTGCCGCGATTGGTGTTTCTCGTTTGGTGTTAGACAATAAGCCAATTGTATAGTGCGGGGAGTTTATGTTCTTGCAGGCTGTGGGTACCTGGGCATCTGCATTTTTCCCATCGGGAATATAGATGGGTGCTTGCATGTGTGCGCACCAAGGCTTCGTGAGGCGAAAGTGACAAGACAGGATTGTCTGGGGTGTGGAACGGTAGTCATATTCAAGACACATGTCGTCATGAAAACAGAGTACGACGCACCGTAGTACAATTTTGCCCATGTCAAAATACAGACCATAGTCATCTTTGAGCTTTTAAAGATGCTGTGATTACTTTCCGGAATGGCACTGTGACACCCAGACATGGCTTCAAGACTTGAATAACCACTCTGTTCTAAGTACACGAAAAACTCCAACCATTCTTTTGAAGTGAATGATCATGGCAAGAAAGTATGACAAACTCGTTTCATAATCACAAAGTCATGTTGGAAATGCCAAAGCATGTTACCGCCATGTCGTCTCGCGCTATCCATAGTGCCGGTACTGTACCGGCAAACGAGCAGACGCATGCAGCAGGGGAAATTGCCCGACGCAACACGCCGTCTTCTGGACACTTGCTTTCAATTGTTAAAAAAAAACGGAAGCGAGCTGCCTTCCGAGTAGACAAGGCAAATATATCCCAGCGAGACATGTCGTGAAAAAAACAGGGATTTGCAACTCTCTTCTTTCCTGCGCTGTCCAAGGGAGGCAGCCTGCATGGAAACGGAACCCGCTGATAGTAGCCATATCGGCACTTGCTCACCGCTACTTGAAGTGGCGAAGCAATTGACGTGTGGCACTGTTCAGATCTGAAGAGAAGAAAACTGCAGGTATTCCAATAATTGAGAGATGAAGTGAAGAGTATACGCACGTGAGGGGGTGGTGCTATTGTTCCGCGCCAACCTAAGCCGTTTCGGGACAAGGCGTCACGTCAACTCTCAGATGGAAAAGTTCAAGGGCCCAGGTCAGTCGAGAGCGCCCAAACGAGCGTCCAACGGGCACAAGACCATTCACCAAAGTACGCGTCACTTCCGCCCAAGTCTCCAATTACACTTTGATCTAAATTGTCCCATCAATCAAGTCACTCGCTACTACTGCCACTTTCCTTGCGCCCCGCCCACGTCAAAAGCCGCCGAAAGACACAAAAAAAAGACATACCCGCTCTCTCTCTCTCTCTCATCCACGACCGTTGCACGCGCGTGCGCAACCCGCATATTTCCTCTTCCGTGGTATCCCGGCGCAAACAAGAGAAAAAAAAACATGGCGTATTTCCGCATCACGCTGATGCGCTCTGGCATCGGCATGCCCGCCAAGACGCAAGGCGTGCTCAAAGCCCTCGGCCTGCGCAAACGCACGACGACCGTTTACTACCCGGTTTCGCAAGCCGTGGCCGGCCAGATCATGCGCATAAAGGAACTCGTCGATGTAAAGGAGGTCGAGCGACCGGTGACTAAGGAGCAGATGCGCGTGGCGAGGAAGCCGGACCCGGGCTACTATGTTGAGCAGAGGGCGGGCGAGGCTATGAAGGCTTATGAATAGGCATATTGGGGAGCTCTTTTGGGAGGGTGCAGCATGGCGATGATGTGGATGTATGTTTATGGTATGATGTGGGTTCTATGCATATATGGCGTTTGGGACCAGCTCTCTTGTATGATTAGAGTTGTATTAATTCACTGTGTTTTTCTGCACCATGCTGCTTTTGCACTGCATGTGCGACTGTAAGAGCGGTAGATTCGGCGTCGATCTGATTAAAGCACTTACAGATATTGAATGCATCTCAGCGGTGTTTTCCTGTCCTTTTCTGAACTCAACAGAGAAGCTACTGTTCTACGGCATGATTTTGCCAACAGCCCTCAAACCACCATCATGCAGCGAGAAACGCCACTGCTATCACCATATGCTAAACGAGAACTACAAACATGCATACTTCAGCTAGCTCTGAAACGGACACCCATATTCGCTCTTATGCGGGAGATTCAACTCATTCTCACACCGTATACCACCACCATCCATGCTTGCAAATCATACACCTCTCCAAATTCCAGCAAACATCAACGAGATGCTTGCATTTACAAATCCAAGTGCTCTTGCATAACCCAGCACATCCAACGGGCCGCAGTACCACCGTAACACGGTCTGCTAGATAGTCTGCAACACAACGTATACCATGTAAGCCGTAAGCGCATAAGCCGCATTGCAATGCGGGAATCAATAGGGCCACCATCTCGCGTTCGTATATTGTTTCATCTTAGAAAACCATAGTTTGGCCGTATATACCCCGTAGCCTTGTCACGGGAGCTATATCACGATGACGACACATCACCAAGCATCGACTTACCTTGCAATATCAAGCCTACAACTCATTACTTACGCTGGGAATGCCGACAATGCCTACAACACAGCAAATCGTCGACTGATGGTGACGGAGCATGATACCTGGTATATCAGTTCAACTGCAAAACAAATCGGTGTCATACCAATCATCACGGCTGAAAGGGAAACGGCTGCTCTATAGACAAGCTTGCATTAATGACGAAGTTTCTAAAAGTACAGCTTCTGGAGCCACTGACCTTTTGTGTCCAAAGCACGACGCCGTCGTACAACATTTTGCCAGCGTTGGATAGCGGTCCAGATGTCTTGTTTTAAGCCACAGGCTTATTGCAGGCGGACACCAGCGGTACCCTTCTTCTTCGCCTGGTCGTCAAATGCATTGCCCAGACCACCGCCTCCGCTTCGACTAGCTTCAAGTGAACTCTCAGCCATCTTCTTCTTCTCGGCTGCTATCTTTTCAAGGTGCTTTTTGGTCTTTGTATTGCCGCTACCCTTGCCGTGGAATTGGTGACTGAGCTGCTTGAACGCCTCTTTCTGGTTCATCTGACGGCCGTGCTCATCGACATACTTGAGTTCAATGTTGGGTGTATACTCTTTGTTAAAGAGCTCAGCGAGACGACGGCTCTCGACCATGTCGGCGCTGGTGTTGTTTTTGCGAGCCCATTCTTCACGCTCGCGAGGCGTCATGTTATTCCAACGGGCAGAGTTCCGCTCGCGCTCACGTGCAATCTTGCGTTGGCGTTCAGCTTCAGCTTCAGCTTTGAACTTGTCAGCAAGGAACTTCTGGCGCTCGCGGTACAGGGCGTGTTTCTCGCCAGCGTCGCTTTCGGTCACCAATCCTCGTTGCTTGAGCAGCGCAAGTGTGGCCCCTAAGCCTTGGTCAACCGTCTTCTCGGCCTCAAGACCCGTTTCGGTGATGTCTGTGGAGAGAGCACGAGAGACACTGCGGTTCCTTGCCTCTTCCGCTTCGGCTGCTTCGGCGTATGACTGGCCCATCTCCACATCGCCGTCTTCGTCAGCGACCGGAATATCACCCATTGACTTGGTGCCTTCTGAAATATGGCTCGACTTCCTACGCTTGCGGCGTGCTTCTTCTTCATCGTCACCAGCAGTACCCAAATTCTGGACAAACTCGGTTGTCTCGTCAATGACCAATCCGCCATCGTTGTCTTCTGTAGATTCGACAACGTCAGGTTGAGGGGTAGAGGCTTCTTCGCGTAGTTGTCGCGCCAAGTCTTCTGGCCGCATCTTCTTGCGCTTTTTCAGAGCCTTTTGGCGCTGGGCCGCGAGGACCGCCTGGAGATCGTCATCGTCTACAAACGATTCGTCAAAGACCTTCTTCTTCTTTTGTTGTGGCGCGGTGGCTTCTCCATCAACATCCATGTCGTCGGCGGCAGGATCGTCAGCGGGTACGGCGAGCATTTCTTCATCGTCCTCGACGCGCTCCCGCTTGGACTTCTTGCTCTTCTTTTTCTTAGGCTTCTTCATCTTCACTTCCGACACATCCATGTAGTCATTTGCGGGCGCGTCTTCTTTGAGTATGTCTAGGCTGATAGCAACCTTCTTTGGCTTTGCAACGCCTTGGGCCTCGGCCTCAACATCTTCAACAGTACGGCCCTTGCCATCTAGCGTGAAAGCCTTGCTCTTCTTGCCCTCAATCTCTTCATCGTATTGTGCCAGGATCGACTTCTGGCCCGACTCGTCCATGTCGTTGGGGTCGTAGGCGCGCTTTCGTTTCTTGGAATCAAGCCGCTCTTGAAGCCGCTCCCTCTCTCTCAGCGCAACCGCCTCCAGCTCATCTTCGTCTTCGGCGTCAACCGCAGTGTCCTTGAGGACCAGAATCTGGTCTTCGTCGTCGAATTGGTCGACTTCGTGTCCCACTTTGATACCCGCAAGATCTTTGTCGGTGTACTGCATGGCTTCGAGGGCCTGGCGCTCACGCTCCTCGAGCTCTTTGCGCATCTGCTCTTCCTTGGCAATCTTCTTCTGGCGCTTCTTGCTGCTCTTCAACCAAGCCAAATCGTCGTCGACGTCCTCTTCGTCCGCCAGCCCTTTGCCCTCGAGCTTCATGAGACGCGACGCCCTCTCGCGCTCTTTCTTGATGGCAGTCGCGCGCTCTTCGCGCCTAATCTTGGCCAGTCTTTCTTGCTCGAGTTTCTTCCAGTTGTCGGAGGCGGCGGCCTCGCGCGTCTCGATGGTGCTGGCCGGCTCGTCGTCGGAATCGTCGCCATCTTTGGCAGCCTTGAAGTCCAGGCCCGAGGACGCGGCGGGCGCTGCAGAGGCACTTCCACCTGGGAGGGCGGGAAGGCCCATGGAAAGACGAATCTTATTTACCTCATCGATGGATAGGTCGACCATGGTGGATGCGGCCGCGGGGCGATGGCGGGAAAAGCAGTGAGAGGCGTGGCGGAGAAGCAGGTAATGTTGAACGGGATCGCAAGTGCAAGCGCTTGATGGTCAGGCCAGGGTAAACTCCGACGCAGCCAGTTCGCGCCAAGCCGCTAGTCGTGGTAGCGCCCCGGGCCACATAAAAAAAGTTCCCTCGCCGCTGGCCAACCTTCTCTCAACCACCGCCCTGGGCCAAAATCTCCCAGCCACTGCTCAGAGGGCTTGCTCTCTGTAGCGGTGTTTGTTGGTTGTAGATTCTGGCAGCTCGTCCATCATGGAGCCATCTCTCTTTTCCCGGTAGATTGCTTCGGACGACAGGCGCGAAGAACAACTTTGGCAGCATCCGGCAGCCTGAGCTCACCGCAAGGTTTGAGCTCGGTGTAAGGGTGTCTGCCAGGCAGACTGATTCCGTTTCCCTTATGCTAGGCCGTCGGCCATTGATGCTTGGGACTAACCCAGTCGGCTACATGCGCTTATCTTCGAGGCTAGCTTTGCTTATTGCGCGACTCTGTGAGATTGATAACACACGACCACTTTGCGCCTGCGCCTGCGCTCTCGCGATGCGGAATCGATCGCATGTATGTTTACAAACAATGGCGTCATATGCGCTATAGGTTGTTGCATGCAGTGCACTGAATGCGGCAAGTGTCGAACCGTGGACAGCGACCGCGTGCACTCCGGAACGCAGCCAATGCTATTTGCGACTTCATGACGGCCTGGGTTGTATATTGCTGGCGCATCCCATGCGCATTGTTATTGGAAATGTACATGTTATACAGTAGTCTGGCTCTGGCGCCAGTGGAGTGTAGTCCAAATGCAATGCCCATATCATTCACCCATTGCGCATGTCTCCCGTTTGCCCAAACACCTAGTTCGTCGTTGGCACCTCTCCCCTCGCCAGTTTGAGCATCTCTTCCTCCCTGCGCTGCTTCATCACATACTCTCGGACTTGCACTCTATCCGCCTCGCTCCTCTCCTTGGCTTCGGCAATCTCCTGCATCTCCGCCAACTCCTGTTCAGTGGGCTCAATCGCCTGTGCCCCGGTTCTCGCTACTAGAGCCTCCAAAATCTCGCTCTCCATTTGGTCTCTTATGTCGATCGTATATGTGGGTTTCGAGGTATCGGGTACCAGCGTGTTACGTGGGTTCGGTGTGCCTGACGGCGGTGCAGCATTGGATTGTTGGTTTGTGGGCGCATTTGTAGTGCCGGGCGCCGGTTGTGTCTTCGAGGCAGTATAGATGTGCAGCACCGAAGGACCGTCCGCGTCCGTGTGTCGTGAAATTTGGATAGGAACCGAGGGGTTTCGGTATTTTATTCTAGGTAGCATTTCGCGCCAGAATTTCCTACAAATGGTGTAAGCATACATTATCGCCTCGTGCTCGTTGCTGCGCCTTGATAGCTGAGCCATTGAATGTTATTTTTCATGCGTACCTTGCCCCTCTGTGCCCTCCATAGATCTTTGCGTTGAACTCCATGGTGATCTTTGACACCTCCTTGGGCAATATGAGAGCGCCAGGCCCACATCTTATCCATAGCAGCTTTTCAGTGCATCGTCAGCCATCTGTTGTATTTTTCCTTCATTTTGGACTCGTATGTCGGGTTGCGAGCGGCGTTTTCGGAGGTGTCCGCAGCAGATTTGAACATACCTTCTGCCGTGTTTGTTAGCCCTGTCCAATGCCCAGACCCCAAATATGCACTCCAATTACTCACTTCGCGTAGCTTGCGCATGCGCTTTAGTATGTGTACCATGTTTGCTGTGCTGTGCTGTTGACCTGGCGTTGCTGAGATTCAAGAGATTCTTAGCGCAGTCCCTCGTAGCGCGCGCATGGGTGCATCTTGGCATCTGGACGTGGGACGTGGATAGCAGCCCCTCCATACCTTTACCCACAGCCAACACCCCATCAGCCCCTCAATCTTCACACAATATCGTCGAGGTCACAAATTGAAATCGGTTGAGCAATATGTATTTCCAGAATTGAGTTTCGCAAGTCACATATGTTTTCACGCATACACAGGCCAATCAACATTCATAGTGAATTTTCTCTATTATCACATTCACCGTACTAATACGTAGAAATCTCTCTGGAACCCAAAAATCCATCTTGTACTACGTGTACAAAGAGTAACCTCCAGGGACGCTCTCAGGCTCCATAGCATCAGCCCCCTAAGCAGTCGACTTGCTAAACTGAATCAAGCGCTTAACACCGACCTAGATGAGCATTAGTAGAGGTCCTCGTGTCTTCACTATGAGATGCTCGACTTACCATCCAGTTGCTGCCCTCGTCCGTCTTGTTGGTCATCAAGTCTGAGAAGATAGCCGCTGCGGTATCAAACTGTTTGGCCTGAAGGTTGGACGCCAATTCGTTCATCTGCTGAATCGTGTCTGGCTTTAGGAGATCCTCGTTGTTAAGATGGTCAAACAGAATATTCAGCCGTTTCTCAGTGTCGGCAACGTGCTGCCGGTACTGTGCAGGAGCTTTGCTCTTGACGCGCTGAAGCTCTGCATCGAGAATCTCATAGACGGGTCGAGATGTTTCGGGAATGTGTGATCGATCGCCAGGAGCTGTGGATCGTTAGTAAAAGGCAACCAAAACGCTTTAAAAAAAACCACTTACGATACTTGGCTGCTGTTGGAGCTGCTCCATGGGATTGTCCAGTTCCAGGTCGAGAATCTTGTCTTGGTGGTCCGCCCTGAGGAGGGCCTCCCATAGGAGGTCCAGCTCGTGGGGGTCCTTGTGGGGGTCCCTTTGGCGGTGGAGGAGTTGCGGCTGCAGGCATTTGCTGGACCGGCGACGGTGCGTATGGTGACGCAGCCGGGGTGAATTGCCCTGGTGGCGGTGCAATGTTTCGTGGCGGAGGCATTCCACCCATTGGTCCTGGTGGTGCCGATGGCTGCGAGCCTGGTGCAGGGGCGTAACGGTTCGAGGGTGGTGCGGCAGCTGTCGGAGGTGCATATGGTGACGCTCCACGCTGCAAGGGCGCTTGAGGAGGTGGCGCAAAACCGGCAGGTTGCGGTGGAGCATAAGTGTTAGCTGCTGGTGGAGGCGCATACTGGTTTGGAGTGCCCGCCTGTGGAGGACCAGAAGGTGGTGATGTCATACGAGGAGGACCTTGAGGCGGGCCCTTTGGAGGAGGTGGTGTTGACCTTGCTCCAGGCGAGAATGGCCCTTGTGGTGGACCCGAGGGAGGCTGTTGCTGGTTCGGGAATGGAGAGGCTACTACATTATTCATGGGGGTACTGCGGCGCGAAGCTGGCTTTGGCGGGCCAAAGTCTGGTGTGTCATTCCATGCCGGAATACTGCCCCTGTTGGCTGCCGGTATTATAGTAGGAGAGTTGGAGAAGTTTCGTGGCGGCGGTGCAATTGGGTTCGCCTGAGGGGCCTGGCTGAAGCCGTAACCTGGCTGAGACATGGACGGCTGCGAAGGCTGGTAACCGGCTGGGGTGTAAGCATTGCCAGTTGTGGCGCCTGCGGGTGCGTACGGTGATCGCACGGCAGCCTGAGCTTGCTGCGATAGAGGGTTGACTGGGGCATAAGGCGAAGCTCCCGGCTGTGTCTGAAGCGGGTTGGCTGGAGCGTATGGCGTCTGTTGAACCGGTGCTGGTGCTGCTTGCGCAGGTTGACCATACGAGGGGACCACAACCTGGCGTCGCCCACTAGCGGTAGACTGAGTCTGTCTATGAGTAGCCGCTGGTTGGGCTGTAGCCTTCCTCGTGGCTTGCTTGACACGGTTTCTTGCAACATCTGCTGCTGGGTACTTCTCGGGAAGGAGATCCAAGTACTTCTCGGCAATTGATAGTTGCCCGTGAGCAGAAGCAATATCGGCGTACTCGACGTACTTGGCGTACAAAGGCTCAAGTTTCCAGTCGGCATCCTTCTGCTGTTCAGCGTCCTTGAAGTTTGTCACCTGGCGGAAAACGGTAACCTTCTCGATGAACTCCTGCAGTGATCGTGCATGGATCGAGAAGCTGTTGTCGCCCTCTGTCTTCTCAATACCAGCCTTCTCGTTCTCCTGTAGTTCTTGCGCCCAGTTGACAACAACCTTCTCAAGCTTGGAACCAGCCAAGTAGCAGAAAGACGCATCCTTGCGATATGAGGCATTCCCTTCGGTGAAGGCCTCCTCAAGACGATCACCGAGCGCCTCACAGAGATCGGGGAAGTCGGCTTGATCAGCAAACGTGCAGATAGTAGCCATGACTTCTTTCCAGTCTTTGAGATCAGCATTGTACACGAAATCCCACAGGTTCTTTCCAACAACGGAAGCGAGGAGGCGGAGGTAGTTTGGCGCGTCTGACTGCTTCTTGAAGTACGCCGCCTGTGCCTTGGCAATGCATTTTTCGCCGCCGCAGATGGCAATCATAAAAGCATCTGACAGGCGGTCCTCCTTTAGGCATACGTCCAACGCGGCATTAAAGTCTCCCAACATGAGGCTGCGGGTGATCTTGGTGTCAGCCTCCGACTCGGTGCCATTGTAAATTTGAAAGGGGTTGTTGGTCTTTGCGCCCTTGGACGCCGCGAGGTCTGAAAGGAAGTTACCCTCATCAGTCGCATTATCGAAGAACGAGGCACCTTCATCCGCGCCAGCATCGGCTTCGCCGCTTGCCTTGTCCTCCTTCTTTTCCTCTTCTGGCTCTTCTTTTTTATCCGCAAAGCCAAGATACTCGACGAGCTTATTGCGAGGATTCTCGGAGATTAAAGTCTCGATTACGGTCCAGTCGGCCTTTTCCTCGTCGTTTGTCGCCTTTGAAATCTTCGACTCGCAGATTGATGTCAGGTCACCACTCTGCAAAGCCTTGTCAAACTCTTCGCTGGCGGTGCTGACGTCCGAGTCTACTGCAAAAGTTGAAATCGAAACCTTGAACTTGTTATCAACGACGCCAAATCGCACAAGCTTGCCACCAAAGCCAAAAGCCACACCCGCTCGCCTCTTCAACCATTTCGGGGGTGTTTTTAGCGTGAAAGATGCCCCCTGAGGCTCGGCATGCGTCTGTGCAAAGAAGTCCTCTCCTTCGGGTGCTTGGGTGGCCGCCTTCTTGTGATCTGCTGCAGGCCCGGTGTTTTGCAGGGTCTGAATTGCAATCTTGCCATCAAAGGAGGCGGTTGCAAGGAGGTTCGGATTCGCAGGGTTGAATCTTGTTTGGAAAGTCCAGTTAGTAACGACTGGGAATTCGCCCAACAGCTCTCCAGTGTGCGGGTTCCAAGCAATTGTCCTGTTGTCCTTGCCACAAGACAAAAGAAGGTCGCTGTCCTGCACACACCACGAAAGGGAGAGCACACCCTGGTCGTGAGCTTGCAGTGTCTTCTCAGGCGCATTGGTGTTGCGGAGATCCCAAACTAGTACAAGTGGGTTCTGGTCTGTCGGAATAGCAGTAACTAGCCTCGTGGGTACATTAGGGTCCCATGAAACCGCGCTGACAGTCTTTCGTCCGTAGTTGTTGAGCGTAAGGTTCTCCTTCTTCAGCTTGACGTCCCAGACGGTAACGAAACCGCCGCTGCTTCCGGTCGCAAGAATATGCGCAACCTTCTTGTTCCAGTCTAATGTGGTGTACTCGTCGGGGTTCGCTCCAGCCTTGCCCAGACGGAAGGACTTGGATTCATCGTCGATATCGTGGATGAAAAGTTCGCCTTTGGCGCCGGCGGACGCAAGAATGTTGGGACGGAATGGGTTGAACTGTATCGCTTGGATGGGCCCGGTGTGCTTCTCGATCTGTTCAATCTCGGCTCCATCACTGCATAGAGTCAGCTTTGCATAGTCACTCGCTGGCCTGGGAGCGCTCTGACCCTTCACCTGCCCGCAGCTTCTCTGCATCCCATAGCACTAGTACCCCGCTATCGAGTGCGCCCGCTATTACTCCCCGCGGGTACTGTTCGCTGGGTTGACTCCATGCAATGTCATTGAATCTAGAGGAACAATCAGTAGCTGCTCTGCAATTCGTAGACGCGGCTTCCAATGTACCGTGACTCTACGCTTACAGTAGCGACTGGCTTAAGCTCAACGCCCTGCTCACTGTCGTCCAAGCCAAGTTCCCAGAGCTCCAGCTGTGTCTCATTGGAAAAGTCGGCGTCTACAGCACCGGCTTTTGTTCCGGTGGCAATCAATGGCTGGGTTGGGCCCGGCGACCAAGCAAAAGCGGCTGTGCGTGGGATTTCTCGTAGACGGACCATGACGATGGGCGGCGCTCGCACCTCGATGTCGTCAGGCTAGCGAATTGGGCACTTGACAAGAAACAAAACAATGGACGAGTGAGGGGTTCTTGTAGAGCAAGAGAAGAATTGTACGTGGGAGAAAAGAGAGGCGGCAATGTGTCAGGAGTGCCGAGTGGAAAGTTAAGGCAACGATGTGCTTCACCATGCAATGCATCCACCTGTCCTTCCCTAGTCCATACGCGCGGGCGGCGCCCGATTTGTGGGTCCCGCTAGTAGCCACGTGATATCGAATTTCAGCTCCATCTCTGGAACACGACCACGCTGGACGACGGCATCCAATCGCCCACCACAGGCAACCATGTCCAACTTGTCTGATACCTCGCGACTAAAGGCCACGGTGTTTGTCGGCGGGCTTGACCAAGCGGTTACGCAGCAGACGCTCTTCCACGCCTTCCTGCCATTTGGCGACATCGTCGAGGTCAACCTTCCCAAACCAGAAAACCAAAGCCAAGGCGAGCAGCATCGGGGATTTGGATATGTCGAGTTCGAAACTGCAGCCGACGCAACTGACGCCATTGATAACATGGACCGGAGCGAGCTCTACGGCTCTGTGATCAAGGTCGCGCCGGCCAAGCCCCAGAAGGATGCAAACGAAGGACTAGGCAGCAAGACGGCTGTATGGGAGCAGGTATGTATCCATTTTGAAATCTTACGGGCATGGCCATGTATTGATAGGGACGCAGGAGGGCTGGTTGGCGAAGCATGCTGTGAGCGAAGAGGATCGCAAGGCCAAGGAGCAAGTGCAAGACGAGGCAAATGGGCCCGTGGACCCGATGCAGGGTTTAGAGGGCCTGGACGAGGCCGGGCCAAAGCCAGCATGAAGGATGCCATCTACTCGCAAGGACTGTACAGCATGGTGTTCCCGGCGTTTGTGGGAAAAGTGTTTGATACCATATGCTGTTTGGCGCAATTATCCTCTATTAATACAGGTAGCCATGACGACGGTCTACCAAACGTTTGGGATTTCGTCGCCCAAAGAGCAAGTATGTCGAGAATGAATTGCAGCATCAGATGTCGTGTACCGGGCTTTCCATCATATGACATGCATCCTCACGCACATATATATACACAGCGATGCACAGCCCAAAGGAAACCCGATGCTTGATTCTCAACTTGATAAGGACTCAGTCCCGTATGCTGTACCTATACCCATGGCCGCTGGAGCCCTTCCAAGCCCGCCGATTCCATCTTGATATGGGTTCTGTTCCAAGCCTCTACTCCTGCTTGCCCTGCCTCTTGAGGCGGAGCGTCTTGTCGACCCAGAGTTTTCGGAAGATGGAGAAGATGGCCATGCCAACGGCGATGCTGCGCATATATCAGCCCACCTGTGTCATAAGTCGGTGGTGCGGAATGGAGGGGCTTACCCGAGAACAACAACTACAGACGGGGTTAGCAAGCAATTCGCGCAAACGAGCATAGGGGCCTGGACGTACTCAGAGGCCAGATTTCAGTGGGGATGTTCTTGAGCTGGCGGATACGCTGCGATACAGTGTGGGCTGTGGTATTGTCAATTCAAGCCCGCCGGCGCAATGTGCAGCGTTGCGATTGGCTTACCGCCGTGCTCCTCCTTCTACGATCTGTTAGCAAGCGGGCTCTCAGACGGCCGAGAAGAGTGCAGGAGGACGTACGGGCATCGGCTTGCGCAGCGCCATGGTCTGCCTCATGAAGAGTTGCGGGCTCTGGCGCATAGCCATCATGCGCGTCGGCTGCATGGCCATCATGCGTGTGGGCTGCATCGAAAGGGCCCTGGTGACCTTGAACATGTTGGCGGTAGGGGTGGCTTTGCAATTGGAGTGGAGAGTGGAGAGTTGGCGTCGTCGCTGGGGTCGAAAGTGCTTCGCGGGTTTCGTCACAGGCACGCAGACGCTGAGAGCTCGCGGAGCTTGCTCGCCCGGAAAACGCCGAGCGAATTGTGTGTGGACAAAGCGTCTCGGGTCGAACCATCGCAACCTCACAACTCGACTTCCGTCACCACTCTGCCCACCGCCGCCCTGCCATTGCCGCCTCACCACCTTGAGAAGCCCCTGACTCCCTACCGCAACCATGTCTGACAACGGCGAGAACGGCGAGGAGCTAGTTACCAAGCCCTTCAAGTTTGTCACTGGTGAGCTTTTCCCGCTACTCCGCGCATCGGGGACGCTGAGCTAACTCGTCATTTCACAGCTGGTGCGCCACCCCCGAGATGCCCCCATGGCCCGCCGCCTGCGCGGGACGACTGCCTGGAGTCCTGGAAGTGCGGCGCAGCATGCTAACAGGCTTCGGCGCATACAGGCTTCGATGCCCGCTTCCCCAACCAGAACCAGACCAAGCACTGCTGGCAAAACTACGTCGACTACCACAAGTGCATCATCGCCAAGGGCGAGGAATTTTCTCCCTGCCGCCAGGTGCGCAGCCGCTGAAATGCCTGCAAGATGAGAGCGTGTACTAACAGGCGCAGTTCATGCTGGCCTACAAGTCTCTGTGCCCCAGCGGCTGGACATCGCGATGGGACGATCAGCGTGGTGAGTACTCGCCGCACTCTACGAGATGCCTGTGCAGACGGCACAGACGAAACTCTAGCGGGAGAGTAGCTGACATGCGGAGCAGAGGCCGGAAACTTCCCCGTAAAGCTCGACCAGTAAGCAGCTCGCTTGCACAAAGCGCAGCACGTAAGGGGTTTTTTAGAGCAGCAGAAGAAGGGAGGACCAGAGTCTGACATTTGCAACTTAGAGCTCTGTATCATAGCCATGGATATCAGCAATGCAGCTCGAGTTCACGTAGCTCTGCACGTGCACCGTCGTGATGTCATTGATTCTTCACTGTTTTAGTACCTGCCAATGTGTGATTGCATCTTTCAGCAGTGTTTGAATAAGCTGCGGTCACGTGCACTGCTTGTCGGATCTTGAATGGGCATCTCCAATGCGCTGCCTAAGCGATGCTGCGGTACTGCGGTACTGCGGTACTGACAGAGTGGGTATGCATGTGCAGCAACAAGTCATGATACTAGTCAAAGGATGCGGAATGTCGCGCCGTGCGATGATGAGTGGAGTGTATTCGACACATTATCATTCAGTATCTGGGGGGATATCTAGAGTGTTCAATCTATATGACACAAATTGGGAAATGACCTTCAAATGGATGGAAGGGTACATCGTGGCTCTCTGGGAGCATTCAAAAGGGAATAGGTGAGCGAGAGGGTAACAGACTGCCGGCCAACCGTGACACCGTAGACAGCAAGGAAACAACAAATATCGCTAAATGCCAGGCCCAAATGAGTGGAAGAAATCGTTAAGTAAGATCGACAATGCCGTGTCGACGCGCGTGTGGGTGTTTAGGGATGGTAAGCCGAGCCCCCTAATTGGGCAGTGCGTTCAACGCAAATTCGCCCGTATACGTGACCTGCCGGGTGTACGGTAACGCAAGCACTGGCAGAGGTACATAGGACATGTATGGCTCTGAACCGAGCAGTGGCTCGCAGATGGGATGGTAGCGCTTGAGTCCCCAATTCGGATCGTCGTCGCGGACGTCTGCTACCACCTCTTCCTCTTCCTCTTCCTCCTCTTCAGGAATCACCGGATCATCGCCGTGCGCGCTGTCCTGTCGCCAGTGCTTGCCTTGCTCCAGCGTCTCCCCAATGCTCGCGAGCGTTGACGGCGCGGCTGCACGGGGCGGGTGAGTCACATCGTAGATTTCGCGGGCCTCCGGATCCATGAGGACGTCGAAGGCGGCCTGCAGGGCTCGGTACTTCTTTGCGTCGCTGGAAAAGTAGACGACCCGCAGTCGACGGTACGCAGCCTTGATCTCGTCCGTGGTTGCTTCGCGCGGGATTTCCAGGATGGTGTAGTGGTCCATGGGTTCCAGCGATTCCTGCGTCGGGGAGAACATGGAGTCTGAGGGAGAACTAGGAGAGCCCATGGGCGTGCGCTGCGCAAGGATGACGGAGGCGTCGGAGACGTAGATGGAGGCTCGTTTGGTGTGCTGCATGGCGGGCGAGTTGCTCATGACGCTCATAGGTCGCGTACGCTGGACTGCCTCGGACTGGTTGCGTTCGTGGTTGAATCTCTTCCTGGGTGAGGGGGATCGAAAGGGACTGAAGCTTGTCTTGCACATTTGCTCAGGAGGCAGGGTCGGGGGAGACATGGTAGAGTATGCGTTGATCATTGTGTATGTACTAGGTACAGCGGGTGGAAGTGGTACACGAACAATGGAGGGGCGTCCGACGGCAAGGCTAGACAGTGTGCGTGTGGGAGGGGAGTATGTTGGTGGTGTTGTGTTCAGACAGCGTGGGAAAACATGGGATGAGCACGCCGTGTCTAAGACACGAGAGGGACAGGGCACAGCAGTAGCTGGGCGTCATGCAGGGGAGCGGTGCGAATCGCAAGGGCGGCGAGAAAGTGGAGCCTGGCTGCGGACTTGCGAAATGAAAGAATGTTGTGAATGGGCGCACATAATTTTAATGACCGGACCAGGGGGACGGAGGGGGGCGGCGATGAAACATAATGCCATTGCTGGGCTGGATGTTTGGACGAGTCCGACGCGTCAGTGCAGAAGGGCCCAGGTCGCTTTGGACGACAGCCTTTCGGCGCTTCCACTCCGGCCGTGCACGTGCACGTGCTACCGTGACTACGACTGCGCGCTAGCAGCGTTGGTGTGGGGATGGGGCCTAAAATTATCGCTCTGCAAACAACCGCGCTGCCCGTCGTCATCCCAACCGTGGCTTTGAGTTTACGCGTGGCATGGCCGACGGTTCCACGACGCGGCGGCTGCCTGCCAGCACGAGCAATAACAGCAGCTGCAACAACAACAATAACAATAACAACAACAACAGCCACGCCACGGCCATGCGCCCCCGCTTCCCCCAGCGGCCCCAGCATGTCATCCCCGCCACGCCCACCACCAACGCCTACCCCAATGGCGACATCAACATCAAGAACTTCCTCAGGTCGCACGAGAACGAGATCCGCGCCCTCGAGGGCGCCCTCAAGGCTGCCAAGGGCGGCCTTTCCCGCCGCGCTTTCCAAGACGTCCCCCGAGAACTGCGCCGGCGCACTGCGAGCCACAACCCCAACCGTGTGCCCAAGCGGTTGCGACTGCGGGCCCGGCAGGAGGCCAAGGACGATAACACACCCATCTCGAGAGGCACAAGCGGCAGCGGCGTCGGCAAGGCGAAAAAGAAGTATCTGCGCAAGGATGGCATGGAGCGAAGCCGGCAAGACTGGCAGGAGCGGGCCAAGAGGAGGAAAAAACAAATGAATGCTAGTGCAGCTGGCGACAAGGACCAGGATGGAGACACGGCAATGCAAGGCTGCCCCATACATGTCGCAAACCCACCATGCAAGCCAAAGTCAAAACGCAAATTTCCCACCCTAGCGACACCTGCTACTCCTCCCTCACGGTTCCGCAGACGGCAACTGGACAAGACATGGCTGCCTACACACCTATGGCACACGAAGCGGGCCAAGATGACAGATCCAAAAACGCCTCTTTGGCGGTTCGCGCTCCCTCTGCGGCCAGCCGCAAAGGCATATCGTCTCACGCACCGAGCTGCGTCTCAGCGAGGAGTCGTGGCCTGGGACATGAGCTACATATCCACCATCAGCCTCGAGGGCCCTGACGCAAGCCTGACCAACTTGCTAAAAGGGCTGCATTTTGGTGCAGAAGACGCAGAGAATCCATGGCAGAGCAGAGGGAGGGCGAGGAAGTGGAGGAGTGGTACTAGAGCCTGGGACGGTTGGATATACGAAAGAGAAGCGAAGCCGCTAAAGAAGGTTGCCCATGTCACTGTTATATGGTGTGTGTCAGAAGCAGACAAGGACAAGAGGAAGGCATTCATTCGTGTGCATCCGAGTGCTTTCATGCAACTCTGGAACGAGGTCGTCAGGACTGCCAAAGTGCAGAAGCCCGCTGTCACGGTTCACGATGCCCGTTTCGAGGTCGGTTCTATCGAGATGACGGGTCCTGCCGCTGCAGAAGCACTCTGCTCTATCCTTCAACCTGTGTCCTCTCCTGATGCAGACTCTGCTGCTCCACGTGCGCTGTGGTCCACGCTAGGTTCGGTAACAGATGCTGCTTCGCTGCCAGCGGGTGCATTGTTGGCGTTCAACATAACAGATCCTCGGCTTCGTGATCCTCCATCTGCAACACCACTAGCACACGACCAACGGTCTGTGGCCGCTCTTACCCACACACTCGCAACCTGGCCAATCGATAATACACAAGAGACCGCAGCGATTTTTGACATAAATGCCAGGTCAGCCGCACAGCGGATGATGCCATCCCAAAAATCCATAAATCGCAGGAAAGGCGCATGCATGCTTGGTGAAAACCCAGAATCCCGCCCTAGCGATCCACAGATACCGACGCTTGTATATACATCGCGACAGAGCAGGTCTTGGACGGTACTACTTCCGTGGAAATGCGTGATGCCAGTATGGCGGCAAATCATGCGCTATCCCGTCTCCACAGGCGGAAACCCACGGTTCGGTGGCTTGAAAGAGCGACGCCAGGTCGACTTTGAGCGATCAATACCGCACTTTCCGTACGACTGCCCGGGTACAGATGCTGGCTGGAGCTGGGAACTGCATGAGCGGGAAGCAAGGAAGCTTGAGTGGACTAAGCGTCCAAAAGGCAAGAGGATAGAGTGGACCACTATCGATCTTGGCAATGGCAGAAAAGGTGAGGTTGGAGATCCCTGGGCTTGTGAATGGGAGCGCCTACTGCCTACAAACAACGGAAAGACGGTTGATGCGCAGGAGAGGTTGAAGGAAGTATGTACCTCTCCCCGCCAGCTATCATCCAGCCAGGCAAAAGACCTGGTGGATGGCCGTCTCTTTATTGATGACTCGTCGTTATCATGCTGTGTTTTCGCTGTGAAGATCACAATGGTACAGCGTGGTACGCCTACAGACTGCACTCGCATCTACCGGCTACCGACAGACCCCGAGCTTCGAGGCAAGTGGCTATCTCTCATGCCACAGCCTGGACTGGGCCACACGTCGAAGAAGCAGGTGAGTCGACCTGTCCATGTCAAGCCAGACAACAACAAGCAAAGGCAGCTTGCGAGAAGCCTACTAGAGCCACCAGAGATCGACAACGCCCCACCAAAGGCTGGTGCGGATGGTTATCCTCTCGTGCCCGACGAGGAGGATCTCATTGGATTTGTCACCACTGGCAACTACAATCTCGCAGAAGGCATGCCGACGGCCATCGCCAACCTGGCTGTGCACAGGATCCACAGCCTTTTGTCTGCGCAAGGCATGTCGCCGTCAGATTGCATGTGCATTGTGAGACCGGCCGGCAGCACTATTGGCAGATTGGCCAAGTGGGAGGTGAGGTGAATGCAAGTAGTGTAGCTAGATACGCAACAACTGATACCCCCGGGCTCTGCCACTATTTAACTGAGATTCAATCCAATGGCTGCGAAGACTTCTCGTCGCGTGTGTGGTGACGTGTGGGGTCGGTTGGTTATGGGCTGCATGGGGAGTGCATCGCGCTAAATCGGCGCCGGGACAGGGATATCCCATGGGCCTCTCCCGAGACTAACGCTAACGTCTCAGTAGATACAGGTGCCGTGGCAGCGCCCGTCTCTCCACGCCCCCCAACAAGCATCGCCGACGGGTTAACAGAGACAGCGCGACATGTCTGAGGACCGGCCGGCCGACGACCAGGGCGAGGGCGTCGACTCTGCCGTCGGACTGCCGTCGCATGCGCTGACACAACTGGTAGGCCTTCCAACCGCAACCCGCCTCCTCGGTTATTCTTCTTCGACGCTTGCGCCCTGCTAAGACTCGTGTAGACGACGGATATACTCGACGACTTGCTGAGCAACATCGTCTACAGCACTGCGCTGTCATGCCACCGATCCGAGAAGCTCCTTCGCATGCAGTCGGCTGCCACCCAAGCCGAATCCATCGCCCTCGCGAACCTCGAGCCGCAATCGCAGAAACAAAACACCAACGGTGCCACCGCGATACCCGTCGCCGAGACGCCCGCCGCCAAGTACGAGAACGGGCGCGTTTTTCTGAAGGGGAATCCGCTCAAGACTACGCCAGAGATAATATGTCCGCACTGCAAGCTGCCGCGCCTCATGTACCCGATTATGGGCAAGGGCATGCAGAACCCCGACCTGACCAAGGAGTACTGCATGCTCTACCCCTGGGTACAGAGATCAGGCCACGACGTCTACGGCAACCCGTTCCCGACCGACATGGCTAAGAGCAAGAAGGAGCGCGAGCTCATCAAGCAGCAGCAGAAGAATGCTGAGAAGGAGAGCGTCGGCACGCCTGGATCACAAGATACGGATATGGCGGGTGGCGACACCAAGGAGATCAAGCTCAACACGGGCGGCAAGCCAGCCTCGTACATTCCATGGCATACCTGTCCAAATTGCAAGCGCAGTCTGCTCATCACACGATTCGCACAGCATCTAGAAAAGTGTTTGGGTATAAGCGGGCGACAGAGTTCACGCAACGCCATGGCAAAGCTTGCAGGACAAAATGGCCCAGGCTCAGGTGTCGGAAACACCCCATTGGGAAGCCGAATGGGCACGCCTGCACCTGGCTCACAAGACGCACCAGGTCCGAAAAGCAGCAGTAAAACCAAAGGCATATCCCCGACCAAGAAACTCGGCGCTGGTGACGACGCCGAAGCGGACGAACTCGGTATGGACAACGACACGCCCGAGCGCCGCAAGATTAAGAAGAAGAGTTCGTACATCAAGAAGGCCGACCGGGATAAACCCACCAATGGCAGTGGCGGTACTCTAAAAGTCAAACTCAAAACCGGTAGTAGGCCCGATCTTGATCGAAAGCACAGCGAAACCAGCGAAAGAAGCGAGGGCAAGCGAGACAGAGACCCAGATGACGGAGGCGACTCTCCCAAGAAGAAGAAGATCAAGCTCAGCTTAAGTGGCGGCGGAAAAGATAGGAGCAGAGCAAGTGCTAGCGTCGAGCCTACGGGTGCCGCCTCTCCTGAATAAGAAAAGGTAGCTTGAGCATGGAGAGCACGCGTGTATCTGTGAGGAAGGTATAACATTTGTACAACGAAAGAAAACATCAAGCATATGGGCGGCGTTTCTTCTTAGTTGTTGACTTTAACTTTTTTTGGTTCAATCTTTTCTTTTCGAGACTCTCGAATATTGACACGGAGAGATGGGGGAAGGAAACTGGACTTATACCAAGGGACGGAAGAATTGTCGAAAGATATTCGTCGATTCAGTCAGGGAGGAGGGCGTTTCAGGTTCTTTACTTTCCTTTTACCACCCTTTTTTGGCCTCTTTGATTGAGCGTTATTATACACTATTTGGAAGTTTGAGATACGACGACAAAGTCCATGTTTACTATGTATGTTTCTTTTTCTTCTTCTCTCTTTCAATCTTGTAGAGTAGTAGTTGTGTGGGGTATAATCATTTTTTATCTTTCTCTTCTTTTTCACCTTTTTCTACTTCCTACTTGCGTTTGTATCGGTTATGCATACTGCAAAATATGGATTTTTTTAGTCAACTCGAGGTTGAACGGATGAATGGTTGAGTGAGTGGAACAGAGTGTGAAAATGACATGTAGCTTGAGAATACCTGGTGGGTACATATGTGCTTTTACTACCTAGCAAATGCAGTGGCTCTTCTTGGCTGACTGTTCTGCTGCTAGCTACTAGTACGGGTGTCAATTGTCTAAATCAAGACAGCTGTCATGAGAGACCATGTTGGCTCGGCTTTGAAGATGCTTGGTAGATAGAAAATACATACAAGGGTAGTCCGTCTATCTGTATATTCACATACTTTGTGCAGCACCGCCAACAGCTACGTGATGAAAACGGGCGTTTTCATTGCTAGACATTGATACTAGTCTATTAGATGAATTCCCAGGATTCTGAGTGTGATGTTGCTCGTCTGTAGGTGCACGATATATCATCTTCGAGCATTCTATCTCTTCATATTATACTTTGATCGCTATGGCTTAACAGGCTGGGTTACAGTGGTGAATAGAGAGTGTTTACTAGTGAAGAAATAATTGTTGCAGAGTCCTTCAAAGTTCTGGGGTTTATTTCTGCATTGATGATATATTTACCAGTCAATATAGCTGATATCCACGCCCAACAACCACGCCCGGCAACGCCAAAAAATGCCGACAACCTCCGTCAACCACCGACAAACTCCGACAAACACGCCCGACAATGCCAAGAAATATTGACAAAGTCCGACAGCATCCGACAACCATGTCCGACAGCCTCCGCAACCCGACAGTCACCAACAACTACTAATAGCCGCCTCTGACATCTTGCACTACTAATAACCACTCCTATCACACTCTAATCTGGTAATCACTACTCCTATACCCTTCACTTCGACTACCAACAGCCACGCACGACAACCACTTCCGACATTCTGCACCACGCCTGATCACAGCTAATAACCACTAATAACTGCGTCTAACATCCTGTGGTACTAATAAATATCTCTAGCAAATACGCCTATCAATATCTCTACTATCAATACCCCCAATACCTACACTGTTAATGTCTACACCCGTCACTTCTACAAAAACCACGCCCGACACCCTCGGGTAATCCGACAGCCACGCCCGCCAACCATGCCTAACTGCCTGGACTACCAACATATATTACTACTGATAGCTATTACTACTAAAAATTACCTCCAACATTGACTAAGCCCGATTTCCACTCCTGGCAACCACATCCGACAGCTATACCCGTCAATCTCTACGCCCAACGGCCACTACCGATATCTACGCTCAATATTTACCTCTGGCAACCACGCTTGACATCTACCTCTGAAAAACACGACTGACGCTTCTACTACTGGCAACCTCCGACAACACGATAGCCACGTCCGGCAACCTGCACTACGTCGAACATATACTTTCCCAAAGAATTTTAGACCATGCCTGGATTGCGACACCTCTTTTCCAAAACCACTGCGCGTATTATTTTGAATGCTGTGCATTCGTCTAGGTGGAGATTTCACTCACCAAAGATAACTGTGTTCATTTATAATTGGCATCACGTGCTTTGCTCTCATTGGAACTAACCAAATCGAATGTGTGCCTATTTGAACCTTGATTTGGCTCAACGGATACAAAACAGCGTATTCGTTCGAGTCATCACCATCACTTCAACACCACTAGTATTCACCATATACTGACTCATGTATGGGGTAGTCTATGAGCCATCAGTTCTGGAAACACGCTGACTAGTGTGTTGCAGGTTGCAACATGACTTTCCAACGCAATTGCAGTCGAGTATAAATCTTGCCTCCATATCAACACAATATTGGAGGTTGATACTCCAGGGCAACATCTAAAAGGATAATATTCTAGTTCGAACGCTGTTCAGCACTAGTGTAGCTAATACAGGGGTCTAAGATATGGTGGTAATCTGAAGACTGCAGGCAGAAATTGTGATTGGCCTGGGACAGCTTTTTCTGGAAACATACAGGCGTGAGAACAGCTGATTGGGCAGGCATAATACGGCTACAACCATCAAGTAAAGCTGGGCTTTTGAGTGCGAGCTCGTATCGAAATTATGGTCAGACGGGACTTACCATGTATCCGAATCGTTGCAACCCCACCCCCGCGAGGCCATGCTGATTGTGGTAGTGACAATAAAAATAGGACTAAGATATTACGATCAGCGATTCCGCAATAGGCTCACAGCATGGTGCCGTTCCTGCCCTTTCGCAATCTGCGGAAGCTGACTGGTGTTCTCGGATAGCCGTTTCCTCGTATCTCCGCATGGCACTAAGACGACAGCACGAGGTCTCTTAAGATTAGAGATGTCGACAGATGATATCGACTGTGAAGTCATGACAGAAAACAAAAGGGCTGTGCATGGATTTGGAAAAGAGGAAATTAGACAAGGGGATCCACTTATGGAATGCTTTTTCCTAATTGTCACGATTCACGTTATGTTTGCTGTTTTGGGTGGAACAAAAACAAAAACAAAAAGCACGCAATGGCCGACCGTGTAGGTGTACTTACTTGGTGCAGGCGTGTTAGCGCAAGCCAGGCAAAGGAAAAATTGCGCATCTGCATACGTATATGCAGCATTCGGCTGCAGCCCACGTCGGAGACATGCATGTTGCATGAACTAAGCGCCTCGTCTATTTATGATTACGTGCCACCAACAGCCTCCTCGACTTGGTGAGCAAGAGAGAGTGGATTGATCATTGGAGGAAAAAGCATGTACCGCTAGTCATTCAACTGGCCGTAAATCCTCGCGACTCCACAGATGCACATGAGCGGATACCAGTTCGAGGACGTGATAGCCTCTTGGAGGCGTGGTTAGAGCCGAGATAACCCACGCGAGCAGAGTGCCCATTGGTAGGGCTGTCTTGTCTCGCTGCGCACGATGGTCTGATGCATTACAGTATCTCGGGACTTGGGGGAGTGGAGTCGCAGCGCCCCTTGCAGGAGGCTGCACGTGGCGGTGGATAATCAGCGAGTCTCACACACAGCTTTCGGCGAGGTCTTATGTAAGGGACGACGTTGGGGGGCCCTCATCTTGGGTGCATCTGGAAGCATGGGCAGCCATGTATGCGGGTTTAAAATATATGACGATCTCTCGGCGCTATTGGAGCGGATAGCAGAGCAGCTGGGAGGCCACAGGTCCGGTGGGTGAGAATGACGGTCCGCTTTGGGGAACCCAGCAGCGCTGACGCGTATGTAGTGTCTAAGAGGGAATCACCATACGTGTTGCACAAGTGCTGCCTACCATACAGAGGTGGCTTTCAAAAGTTCTTGCTGACAGGGGTTCCTTGGTTACCACCGAAAATATAGCCGAAGACTAAGAATTATACTATATTCGCAACTAAAAGCCCTTAAAATGGAAGTTTGGGGAGAATAATAGCTACTAAAGTATACACTTACAGTAATACACTAACTATATTATGCATTATTTCTTGCACGCTAAGTAGATAATGGAAACGTTATCACGAGAATTCGGTCCGATGGATCCGCGCCTTAGCAAGAACTTTTGAAAGCCACCTCTGTATACTTTGGCCATTTCACCATGGTCCAGCATGTGGAGCAGGGTCTGGACAGATGCACTTGTAGAGGGCCTCCCAAGGCGGCCACGCCAGGGCTTAGACGTTCCCCCAGACGGCGGTCCAGGCCGGGCCCTGATGACAATGTGGCTGCGTCGACAAATCATGAGACGCCAGTTTGCTACCCAGACTGAAAGAGTTCACACATTGGCTTTGGGATACGAGCCATCATTACGGAACCCTGACCAAGGAGAAGAAGACGAAAACAACGACAACATGCAAGCTGGCGGATGCTTGGCAGACCTAACCACGCCCGTGGGATTTTTGATGGCGGCAATCGCGCAGCCATGGGAGCCGGCCCAAGGCGGATTGGACTGCGCAGCGTCGAGGCGTGTTGGCGGATGCTGGCCTATATCTCAGCCTTAGTCTTGTGTCGATGCTATGCGAATACCAGTAGTTGTTTGAGATGGTGGATAATGGGCTGACCCTGGCTGATAAGTCAGACATGCAAAGTAAGTAATGCTTCTTTGCGCTGTCCCTCGTCGAAAAGGCGGCTGCGACCCGCCACCCAGGCTCGGCCGTGTGCCAGGGCGATCCTTGACAACGAAAGGTGGAGGGTCAGACGGTGGGCCGCCTGTCCAAGGCCGGCGATGCGTCTTACACGATGCTTACGGCCCGCCAACCCAGTGGCAGTGCGAGGCAGGAGAGACGAGACGAGACGAGACGAGACGAGACGAGACGCGACGCGACGCGACGCATGTACTGTCCGTACAACACGACAGCGGCCGCCAGGAACCCTCTTCGCATAGCAAAGCAGCCATGGGCGCCGCAAAGAAGATGGACTGCTTGCGCGCCGTCTGCACTCGGCCTAGCGCGAACACTTCTCCACGACAGTTTTGGTTTCTTTGCGGCCCCCCTTTTATTTCGCACGTTTTCCCCCAAAGCCAAAACATGCCAGTCCCCACGAGTCGCCGCACGCTAGCCCTGCCAGCACCACCAACAACAACAACAACAACAAAGCATAATGGACCATCCACTCTTGGCCTTGGCGCCCACGAGAAAAGCAAAAAAGAAAGCAAAGGAAAAAGGAAAAGCGAAAGAGGAGCAGGCCATCGACACTAAGCCACAATCTTTTAGGCCAAGTAAGCGCCGCACCGCACCGCACCACACCACTTGCAACTACTAGTCATGTCCGCTGAACCAGCATGACGGATCCCTGGCCACGCCCACGTCCTTCTACAAGCCCGTCCGCACACGGCTATTAGTTCCCTCCCTTGGCCACACCACACTACTGGGCCATGGCCCAACACGCCCATATCTTGTCAGACCGCTTTGTAAAAAAAAGAAGGGATATGTTGATACGGGCTGGCGCACCGGCTGTAAGGGTGTGAGCAGGTATGTATGCACTGTGAGGGGAGGGGGGGTAAGGAAGCGGGCCCGTGCAACCAGCACCTGCGTCTCAAAAGTCTTTGCTTTTTCCCCCTTCGCTCTATGGCCCGACTGGTAGTCTCCAACGACAAGTCACCATGATGATGATGTTTGTCGATTCTTCTGTCAAAGGGGGGTGGGGGTGGAAAGGAACAGAAAGCAAGTTAACTTGCCATGTTAGTCCTTGCTCTCTCCACCTCGTCCACGTCGACGTCGACCTCTACCAGCACCAAGGCCACTACTACTTCCTTATTTCTGGTGTTACCCTCGCCATCCCCCCCCTTGTACTCTTCGAAGCCTCTTGTGCTCTGCTTTTTTGTTTCGCAATAAATTCCGTACCTTCTGTCCGGGGTATGAGGCTTCTTTTTCTTCGCTATCGCTTCGTTCACGTCATTACCCTAACTGGGCCGGGGTAGCCTTAAAGGTTCCGCCACGAGGGACATACATACATAACGGTAGACGCTCGCCTGGGTCATCACCCCTTTGCTTGAGCTTTGAATACCTCTTTTGTGCTCCGGGCTCTTCGTTGCACGACTGGTCTCGCCTTGTCACGTGGTGTTGGGATGTCGCTCCAGTAGTGTTGAGAGGGTGCTGAAAAGATTGGTTGCGAAAGAACAGAAGACATTGCGTATCAGAAGGACCTACTCATCCGCCATAGGCTGTCGATCATACGGCTTGCGAACCACCGATGAATGGAGCGCCCTGAAGAACACCGCCATACTACTACTATACATTGGACTGTCTACTCACACTCCAAGTACCTGGTAAAAGGATCTCAATATAGTCCTCGATCACTCTACCCTCATTCGAACACGCTCGCTTTCGACAACCAACATATACGATCCTTCAAGGAAAAACACCCGGCCCGAACATGTGCTACATCGTCTACACCATACACGTGTGCAACCACTGGATTCCACAACCCCAGCCCAACAATGGACCCATCCTGCGCATCTGCGAAGAAGCCGAAAAACTACGATTGGGCCACCCGTGTCCGGAAACGCAAAGAGAGCACAAAGTGATTAATCGGAGCCAGGGCATGTGTACAGGATGCATGTGGAAAAAAGTCAGCAAATAATCGTCAAGAGGAAAACACAGCACACAAACGCCTTGTTGTTCGCATGGTGGTCGGAAATGAGGATGCGGGGACCGGAGGGGGGGCATGGTCTCGGAGCAGACAGGGGGCCCAGCGACGGGGGACGGATAGGACGGAAGGGATTGGCATAGCGTGTGCGCGCACACCCACACCCACGCCCACACACACACACACACATTCATACGCATGCGGGGACTGAAACTGAAACCCAACCACCAAAGGGGGGTGGGGGCGCTTGGTTCCTTCTTGGGAAAAAAAAATAACTCTGGAATATTCACCAACACCTCCAAGACCTCGACCTCTAGACCAGCCACCACCGACACAAGGCCGCTCATCGTCACAAGAGTGGCTACCCAAGAGATGCGAAGCAAACACGTGCACCGGGCACTCCGATCAGCCAAGGGACTCGATTACGCTCAGAGAAAGAGAGAGAAAAAAACGGCCCGAGTTCCCCCCCCCCATCTCTCTCGCTCTCGGACCGATGCGCGCGCAACAAAAACATGAAATGCCGTTTTTTTCCTTTTCTCATCCCGTCTAGCCCCCAACTCGGTTAACAAACGTTTTGGGGCCTCCTTTTCGTTTGGGGGGGCTGGGCAGGGTTCGCTTTTCCTCATTTTAGGCTTGACAGGTCCCCCCAAAGTAACACATTCATATTACTATTATACCCTCACGGACGGTTTTTTTCGGGTTTCTAGACTGTATTATGGGTTCTTTTTTTTTCTCTTCTTCTTCTTCTTCTTCTTTCTTCTTCCTCATCTTCATCATCTTCTTTTCTCTACTTACTCTTTGCCAGAAAGCTCGGTATCTAGACTGTGAAGTAGTAGTAGTATTAGTATTACTAGTAGTAAATGTACATAGATAAACATAGCTCATCAATATCTGGAATCTAATCGTCTTGCATACAAGAATCTCTCTCTCTCTTTTTTTTTTGGTTGCTGATGCGATCAACGTCAGAATATCCTGGCGCTTAAGCGTTTCAACCCCAGCCAGGCCCAGCAGCATCTCGAGACCCCCCCCCCACACACACACACTTCCCCCTCCCCTCATCGCGTGTATGACTCGTTGCGGAGGATGCTGGATTAACGGGCAAGGTTCAGGGTACAATGTCATAGGTGAAAAATCCCGTTTGTTTGACGGCCGTGAGGCGATGCTTCCAAAAAGTGGAGACGGCAAAACCGCCATG